TGGGATGTTCTGGTTGAGGATAGGAGGACAGGAGGATAGGATGGCCCTTTGGAGATTTATGTCCTATTCATTACACGACGGAACACAGCGCAACAGTGACGGGAGGGTAAGGCCCGATGCATATATATATCCCTATCATCGTCAACCCACCAATAGTTCTCTATCTATCTCGATGTATGTGCGAGTATGTTTATTGTCTCGGTATAAATGTTTCAATGTATCTGCTAGGCAGTATAGTAGTGTACAACATGTCAGTTGAGTGTAATGCTTGAATTAGGTATAATAGTCACTGTTTAAAATACGAGACACAGATTTGTGTATCGGTGATATATGTATTAGGTCAATTAATCTTCAATAATTATTCTTATCAAAGTTTATTATTTAATATTTATACTTAAAAAAAAGTGAATGTATTTTATAGTATACTACAATGTCGAATGTATATCACTGGAATATAGATGGCCAATGGCCAAATACACGGTAGGTCGAGCGTGTAAATGCGTAGTAGTAATGCGAGTGGTAACGGTCAACGTTCTCTCCGGCACTCGGGATTCGCTTGGTTGTCATTACTACTCTGTCACGGGTATTTAACCACTTAAAAATTTAACTGAAAAAAAAAAAAAAAATTCTCTCTTTTTTACGTGAATGTTTTTTTAAAATTCAGAAAGTAATTTTTTAAAAAAATTTTAGGGAATTTCTATTACTTATATTAGCTTATCTCTTTCGGGGGGGTTTTTTTTTTCGATTTTTTTTATAATATACCCACTATAAAAAAGATAATAAAGCATTGAACGCAAAATCGTAAGCCGCTTAAGGACTTAACAGACCTCGATGGAAATTCTACACTCGCCATCAGAGTAGTACTACTATACTCTAAACTGGAAACTGCAAACTGGGAACTGGGAGTGATAGTATAGAGCACTAACCTCCATAGTTTATATGGTTAATATATATCTCTATTACCCCGAATAATTATTTCTATTAGGTATTACCCTCATTGTTATTATTATCATAATAATAATAATAATAATAATAATAATAATAATAATAACTATTATTTAGTGAATGACACTTTGATATATGTGTATATGTATTTTGTGTGTGCGGCTACCCTCGAAATTAACGGAGCCAGTGTCAGTAATTATTTAAATAGTCTTGTGGTAGATAGCGGTCGGTGCAAGCGTCGGCGTTCAAATGAATTGCACACATATTCTCCGTTACATTAATTTTAGTTTTTTATTCTCTGAATTTATAGACACACACTGACTAATCAATTGAATGATGGATTATAATGTGGCTTCACGTGTATATCAGAAAATTCAAGTTGAGATAAATTAAGGCTTCTTGTCACCGCGTATCCTCATCATATATCAGTGTGATATTCGATACGAAAAACGATCACACACACACACACACACACACACACACTGAGATATAATGATTATCAGTTAGGGTCATCGCATCGTAATCTGTAGACCCCTTAAATCCCTGACAAGAAAAGCACTGGATTATCTAAAAAAGAAAAAGAAAAATTGTTGCTATCTTTGTTCTCTTTTTAAATGTAAACTGAGTTTATAGTATTTAATTATAAACATGTTATAAATTGAAAGAGTTTGAAAATAAAATAATGAGAGTAAAGTACAGACTGATCGGATGGATTAAAAAAATATAGTATAGGGCATCTGTAAGCGAGCTATAAGGAGATAGAACTGTTGTAGGTTGTAGGGAGGAAGAGTAAGAGGAATGAAGAAGTAAATTCCAGGGATCGAGTGGGTGGTGAGAGAGCTGAGGGAAGTAACGGGATTACGGTATAGACTCAAATCGCATTCGCACGAAATCGAATTTGCGGTTGGATGAAATAGTCGACTTGGAGGGTGAATCCACCACCATTTATATATACTCACACAGTTGTACCTCCTATCTATACCTGGTAAATAAAACAGGATATTATTAGCTGTAAATTTTCCTTAAAATTTATTTTTTTTTAACAAGCTAATAAGTATCCTAATGAATTTCAACAAAACACTTGTGATATAGAGACACATCACGCTCATCCTTCTTGTGATCTATTGTACCAACTCGACAATAGGTACCTTCATACATCAAATACCCGGGAATACAGACAGCTATATATTATTTATTATGTGCATCCAGATAATACACTCGAGTGTTGTATATATGCTTCTCAACATTATATTTTTTTTTTTTGTTTTTAAGTACTTGTATATATGAATGAAACTATTCGTGTATGTTATTTACCAAGTACCATTCACTTTATTATCCTTCTCGAGGATGCGTTTCAACTTTCAACTGGGGAATTTAAAAAATAGTCTGTATAAATTTGAGGAATTGAATGGCACATAGCTTGGACGCTCGTAAAATAAAGTAATCCTGGGTGATAACGCGGCGACGGAAACCCCCCCCCCCTACCATATAGCCATCAGAAAGAAAGTAAAAGAAAGATGTCGAAAAGAAAAATTGCAACGCTCGGAGATTTCACGCTTCGAATGCCAACACGCCAAATCTCTATGCCAGTTCGCTAAATATATAGATATATAACTATAAATTTACAGAGTTTAATGGATTTGCGCAAACGCTCTCCATCTCTATTTTGTGTTCTACTATCGCCAAGAGATAGAACTTGATCTGGTGACATCTCTGATGGTATGCTAGAGGGAATTTCTCATAATCAACAGGAATATCGGCAATTATACTTGAGCTAATTACAATAAAAGTTTACTCCACAGTTTTGGGGTGATAAAATTTAGCTGACCGCAATAAAACCCTTAATTAATAATCTTCTTTTGTAGTCCGGGGTAAGCTTTATTGTCTCTACACGCTAATTAATTACTACTTACTTTTTTTTTTTTTTTTTCAATCAGAATTGATTGCATTGTTAAAATTCTGTTATTAAACACCAGGGATATATTCTTCTGGAAAATAATTTTATAATAAAATCACTTTAATTAATTACTTAATTTATTGTAATTTTTGATTTCAGAGTTTATTTATTTCAGGATTTAAGTCATATATAACTTTAACTTGTGTATATATATTTGAGGATAAAAAATGTTAAGTTTTTAAATTTGAATATACCTTTCCAGGCGATATAACTTTTATTAGGGGTAGTATAAAAATAAAGAAAAGATAACAAGAGTTAATAAATATTTATTATGTATGCCAGCAATATGAATATAAAATATATTAGAGGATGAAAGAATCTAATAAATAGTTTCAAATGATTATATAAAATTGAATGGTTTTGGTTTAGCAATATACTTGTTAAATGCGTCAAGTGGTTGGAAATAAATGGTAGTACGTGTGCAAAAGAAAGGAAGCCCATTAGAGGGTATAGTGGGTAGTGGGTGGTGGTGGTGGTGGTGGTGGTGGTGGTACCTCTTTATCTATCTATACCGGCATCATATAGCCGAACAACCGGGAGCGCTTACGCTAGCTGAGAAAAAGAGAGACGGAGAGAAAGATAGAGAGATTGAGAGAGATCGAGATATAAAGTAGAGAAAGTGCCCGTTCATTCATGAATCCCAGTATAGTACACCAGACACGCTATCCTATGCTGTGCTATGCTTCTGTTACTGCTTATAGTAGTCTACCTACTAAATACTACACAAAGTTATCCCCCCGTAGTACACTGCTAACCACCTCAATGTTTGGTTCTAATTTACTAAACTATGTCTTATAGTCACGGTTCGTTTGCTATTTGTCAAACACTTGTATACTAATTACAATTATACATTCATTCATTTTTATCACTTAAAAAAAAAAAATCATTTTATTTTTAAATATTTCATTTTTTATCATTTTTTCTTTCAACACTATAAAATTATTAACAGGGTAATGATTGACCTGGAATATTAATTGATGTTATTTAATTTCTTAATTTATATTTCTTCTTTTTCGTATAATCAATAATATTAAAAAAAAAAACTAAATTTTTGGATAATTAATAATTAAAAAAAAAGTATAACTTCTCAATGATTAATGATAATAATAATATCAATTATTGTATTTTCAAAAGTTATAAATAATGTTTAATCAAAAGAAACTTTTTGAATAGTTAAAAATCTGCAAAAAAGTATAATATAATTTATAGTTCCAAATTTTTACTCAATTCTGGATATTAGATATGAATTAGATAACGAATATTTGAATAATAATTTTTTTGTAGGTTCTAGAATTTTATTTTTGAAATTCAGTCGTCACCCTGTTATTAAAAAAAAAAAAGTGATAATCTAATAAAGAATATTAAACTCACCGAAATTCTGTTGACTGACAGGTGTATATATATATATGTATAAATATATATGAAAAAAAGATCACTAACCCAGGAGCACCACCAGTTGTGAAAGCACGTCGATGGCCAGTCGCGCACTGAACTGTTTCGAAGCCGTTTGAAGCCCCGGTACAGGGTGAATCCTCTCACCACCACCACCACCACCACCACCACCACCACCAGCATCTCCTCCTCCTCCTCTTCTTCTTGATCCACCAACATACATACACACATAAAACAGATCGTCAACCCCACCGCAACCCTTACAGCATCATTGCAAATATATGTATTTATGTGTTTGTATATAGAAGGTAATTTATCGCAATCCCAGTAATCCAACTGTCATCATCATCAGCTTTTTTTATTTATTATTATCATAACTATGCTGATTATGTCGAGTATTACCAGGCGCAATAAGAGGATTCAAATATTCATATTATATAATTATATCAAACATTCATTTAAATTTAAATATAATATAAATATATTTTGATATTACAATTTTGGTATTTACACAGAGTATTAAAATGAAAAAACTATTGTATTTTTATTTTGTTTAGTTTTTTTGAACTTATTTCTTCAATATTAGTGACAAAAAAAAAAAAAAAAAAATAAAAAAAAAAAAATAAAAAAACAAGCAATAAGTTAAATGTTAAATAGATATCATCAGTCTGTAAACTTTCGGATAAAAAAAAAAAATAACTTTTCATCAGTCAACGCAGACATATTGACCAGTGACAGTAGCTGTCTGATGGTATCGCCGTCTCCCTGCGAAATCCTGGTTCTCCTCGTTCAGCTGCGCTGACGATACTGAGACACCAGGGTGTATCGGTGTGACGACAATCTGCTCGTAATCGTAGACCTTACGGCCTACTAGTCTCAAAATACAACTCTTCAGCCAATCGAATAGTTTGAATTCCGCTGATACTCCCGGCTTTACTGCTGGATTCGCGTGACCCACGTAGCTCCAGACGAGAAACACGACGATTATATTCGCTAATGCGTAACCCCAGTGGACCAGAAACATTATCAACAATTTGACAAGGGCCTGTAAAAATATTACAATTATAAAAAAAAAAATTGAATTGTAAAGTTTTCGAGTTATAGAGGATTTCGTAGAATTATTACCTATAAAGGTTGTAATAAATAAAATTTTGAACTATTAAGGCATTTAATTCAAGTCACCTCAACATTATTTATTTCAATATAATGTATGATATTTATTAATTTAATTTAATCAGTAATATTTTTTTAAGTTAAAAAATTAAAATATTGATTGTCTATAGTATTTTAAAGGATAATCATATAAGGATTTCATCTTTTTAACTATCAATTAAAGGGAAAAAAAAAAAAAAAAAAAAAAAAAAAAAAAAATGTTAAGGATAATATACCTTCAATTTGCGATAAGGAAAAACATAAATGTACAAGATGACATTATCACAATTTTTTACTTCGACGTACCGAGTCTAAATTTATATGAATAATATTTTATTTATGATTTTTTAAAATAAAACTTACGCCAAATAATGAAAACCATCTGTTGCAAAGCGGGCTGTACCAATTTCCTAATTTTCCATGAATATGTGGATTTTTACGTTTTAAATTATTAGTATTTGATAAATTATTATTTGGTATGTCTTCGATACTCGGTGATAATGATGATGATGATGATGATGATGATATGTTGTCAACATTTCCTATTGTTTCTGAATTAACACTTGATGTTCTCTGAAATAAAATAAGTAATAATTTAAAAAATATCCCACTTTGACATGGAGAAAATATTAAAAATAATTACCACAAGATTTTTATGACGAGTCCTTTCAGGAAAAAGCGAATCTAAATCATTGTGACCATCGTACTCATTGCCAATATTATTGTCATTGTAATTGTGATTATTGTAACCCAAAGTACCGTAATTTGATCGGTCAAAAGTAGGAGTCTGCTGAACTCGGAATCTTTGTTCTCGCGTGTGTTGAAGATCAAAAGTTTGTGCTAAAGCAAAGTAGGCATAGTCCATGCACGCGTACGTCAACAAAAAGGGCATTGTTACTATCGGGGCGAGTGTGTTTATCTCCCCGATGATTATAAAAGTCAGCGTGACAATAGCGACGACAATCATTGCGTAAATGGGTACTTTGTTGGGGCCACGACCGTGCTGCAAACAGCTTATTCCAGGGATAACATTCTGTCCAGCAATTGATTGGAGCACTCGAGGTGTCCCGTACATTGCTCCCAGACAACTGCTGAATGACGAGACGTACAGTCCTGCTAATAGAAGAACTGAAAAGGCAGATACCGTTGATGCGATCATAAAATTATCCAGCAAAGCTGCTCGAGAGCATGTTGCTGCGAGGAATAATGAAAATACCAGATAGAGAATCGCTCTGTAATTATTTTTTAATAATTTTAATTAGTTGAAGGTGAATTTTTATAATGATTTCTGATTTATGAAACTAACCCAGTTCCTAATGCTGCCAAAGTACCGTTGGGAATATCTTTTGATGGATGCCGCAAATCACCGCTCATGTTTATTCCAGCCAGGACTCCAGTCACTGTTGGAAAAAATACTCCAAATACTGTAAACCACCCGTAGTCACTTTGATACTGAGAAAATGTATTATTTCGAAGATTTCCCGACAACCATCCATCAAATCCAGCCTCTGGAATAATTATTTTTGTTTTATATATTTATATAAAGGTGTTAAAAAAATTTTAATCTCTACCTGGATTTACGTGAGTAAAACTTCCGATTATAAAATCACCAGCTGCTAATAGCAGAATCACCAGAAGAAGAAACTGTAATTTAATCACCCATTTTACGCCAGCAATGTTTATTATTGATAATAAAATAACGGCAGCACACGCGAAACCTCGTTGAGTCCAGGGTGTTTCTAGGCCCACTAATTCCGCCATTGATTCTCCAAATCCCAGAACATTCAATGCACATCCAACTGCCTGGAAAATTTTTTAAATAAAAAAAAAAAAAAAAATACTTGTAAAAATTTTTATTCATTTTCACATGTGGAACTTTTTAATTAAATTTTTTTTATAATAGTTTAATTGTTTAATTCTAAAAAAAATTTTTAGAATTGTCAACAGTGTCATAATAAATTATTATAAAATTATACTTGGAGTAGAAATAAATTTACCTGGCCAAAACAATAAAGTAATCCTATAGATCCACCAAATCTGGATCCTAAAACATGAGATAGTAGAAAATAAACTCCACCACTTTCAACTCTGCATCTCTCGCAAATTCCCACTGCTGATAAAACTGTCACTAAAGCTACACAAACTGAAAAAAAAAATTATAAACATATATGACATTAAAGTTAGCAGTCACTAAAAAAATTTGTTATTATAAAAAATTATTATAATTAAACATACTTAATATTATAATCTTTAAAAATTTTTTTAATAATAATACTAACCAGTTGATAAAATAATTAACACAGCATTCAAAGCTCCTGCTTGTCCAACGATCCATCCAGACCTCAACAGGACAATAACACCAAATATATTTATCAGACAGGACGTAAACACACCGTCCCAAGTGCCAAACAATACTGGTTGGGAAATGAAAAAATTTGATTTCCACCAAGGATCAGCATTCTAAAATACAAAATAAATAATTATTATTATTATTATTATTAAAAATATTATAATAAAAATTAATTACTTACATATTCCTGGGCGTAAAGCTCGTTGTCTCCTGACGGATAAATATCAGCAGTCGCAGCGCTGTCAATCGACCCGATCCCATCATAATTGTTGTTGTTGTTGTTTATGTTATTCCGGGTGTAATAACGATCTGTGGAATCTCCTGCGTTATTTTTTACACCAACACTCGCACCGTATTTCCAATTAAGTTGATCGCCTTGGGGATTGTCGTCGTCGTCATTTCTAACCTCCATTTGTTATTCTAATTTTTTATAATTCAGTTTTTGGTTTTCATTCGCAAACATATACACTTTTTTTATTAAATATTATTTACACTTTTTTATTAATAAATTTAGTTTGATTTTGGGTATTAATAAATTTAGATCACGGATCATGTGTGCGCTTATTTTTTTTTTTTATTTAAATAAATAAATAAATTATATAAAAATACGTTACAACTATTTATATAGTTTTTTATAGTAATAAAAAAAATTACAACTATATACCACTAATACACTTTACACGAATGTCGAATTATGATCGTTAGGTGGCGCTGCTGTAGTGTCGCGGTTTTTTCAAAATAAATTAACACTCGTGTAGTTAAAAAATATTGGTCAGCTGCCTGACAGCTCTGTCAAATAATGATTTCATTATTATAAAATAAAAAAAAAAAAAAATTTGTCAGTTAACTTTAGTGTTTATGTAAATTTATTAAGCAGATATTTAATTATTTTTAAAATTTTTATAACAAAATTATTGCAAAAGTCGACTTAAAAATATATTTCCATTTCTATTTTCGTTCGGATCTTGGTCCCAATGGTGTTCGTGGCGCTGCTGGTAAAATAGAAATATCCCAAATATCCCAAATATCACAGTGTTTGGCGCCTAAAAATGGCGATAGTAAACTCAGCTGTTGAGTAAAAAAGCGATAAGAGAGCGTCAGTGATATATATATATATATATATATAGTTATTATTTCTAAACAGATTGTAAAATAAATAAATATATTTATATTTTTTTTTTTACATAAACGTATTATTGCCACAGCTGAGATTAATCCGTGATATTGTTTATAAAATTTTATCTATAAAAATAAAAATCAATATTTCTTAAAATGACGACTAAAAAAAATACGCCACTGGATTATTCTTTCAATTATTATTTTGTTGTATTTTCTAAATATGAAAATAAACAATTATGTTCTAAGGATATGTGGGATGATGCATTTAATATGTAAGTTTTTATTTTATTTGTTAACATGTTTTTTATTTTAACTCTTTGTAAAATACTAACTATATTTTAATAATTAGGAATGTGCAAAAAAAAACCTTCAATCACGCTGGGTCACAGAGGAGGAGTGTAAGAATTAAATGAATCCAACCAAAGCTGACATTTTTACCCTGGAAGAATTTGCTGGAGAAATTTTCCAGTATTTACAACGTTTCAAGTGCTTGTAAGTTTTATTTTGACTCTTGGAAAATATACGTTTTGCAACACTTGACTGGTACACGTTACTGGCTGTAACGTACTAGACTTGTTTGAGTTTATTACACAATAATAAAATCAGTTGACATTCAAACATTTTTTAATTTGATTAAAAGGAAAAGATTATTTAGGTATTGAATTAAAAAAAAAAAATATTTAACGCAATCAAATTATGGTTTTTTTTAAATTTCTACATGTCAATTTTTTTTTTCATGATTTTTTTTGTTGAAAAAATTAATTCTAGTGTCACAAAATTCATTTTGGTAGATTGATATTTTGGATTGTTTTATTTTTTATGGTACTAAAATCTACAAAGATCTGAAAATTTTACGGATTTTAAAGAAAAAAAAAATTAAAAAAAAAAAAAGAATCCAAATGTAGCCAATCAAACAAATTATGAATATAAATTTTTCGAAAGAATTTTATAAATAATATCAAAAAAAAATATTAAGTAATATTAATTTGTTTAAAAAATTTTTTAAGAAATATGAATATAATTTTTTTAAAAGAATTTTATCAATAATATAAGAATATTATCAAAAAATAATTATTTCTAAAGAAAATATGTTTAATTTACTTTTAGTAGAATAGTCGGCCCACCGTGGTTGCTTCGCTGTTTCTTGACCTGTGATGCGAGTCCCGAGGGCAAGAGTAATAACAGTACAAAGTGCTCGACACTCGAGTCAGGATCCACTCAGCGTGTGCTAGATTCTTCTCAAAACTCCATCGAGGACACCATGCAGTCAACAAACTCAGGCAAAAGTTTTACTCTCGTTGATGAATCTCCGTATTTAGCTCCTGTTAGCAGCAAACCTCCAGAGCAACTGTTGGGTCCACCTTCGACTCCACAACCACGCGCTTCAAGCACTCCGTTGTCGGAGTTGGAGAGACAGTTGCAGTCGGCGGGAAAGAAACCACCGGGTAAAAAAAGCACTCCGAGCTCGCCTTTCCATGTCAACACACCACAAACGCCTTGCGGAGCGACTGCCGAGCAAATGTTGGGAAAATGCAGCAGAAACTCCACAACCACGCGCTCCTAGCACTCGGTTGTCGGAGTTGAAGAGAGACAGTTGAGGTCGGCGGTGAAGAAACCACTGGATATTCTTCCGGAGTTTGTGGGTCAGGATCCTGAAGAACAGTCTTCCATGCATTCTCTGCTTAGAGTGAATTCTCTGTCGGAAATTGAGACTCCGCAAAGTGACATGAGCTACTACATGGGAGAATCTCGAGTACGCTCATGGAGCTTTTCCTACCTGGAGGAATTACGAAAATTTGTTCCCAAGCAGTTGTTTGTAAATAAACGGGAAACTAAAAATAGTCCTATTAACGAGCAGCTTGGCGTCCACAAAATTGATAACCAATAGCTTGCAGACACCCGAGAGCTCGCTTGTGTCCTCGCGACTGGAAATTAAAATTCGCGATACGCCAAGATTTTACAAAAAAAAAAAATTAAAAATAAAAATACAAAAGTTATCTAGGTATCTAAATATCTAAAATTGTTTTTTTCAAAATAAAAAAAACTTTTTCAACCAAAAAAATAATTTTCATTTCTTTACAAGTGCACTGAGAGAAAAAATTTATTTTTTTTTTTCCCAAATCTAGAATATTTTTTTTTTTAACAAAAAAGTTTGTGAGAAAAATTTTTATTTTTTTATCTAAAAAATAAAATTGTTGAAACCTCTCAACAAGAATAAATTAATTTCTTGTCACAATTATGCCTATTTTTTTTTTAAAAGAAATTTATTCTTTCAATGTACAGCTCAAAAAAAATTATACCTAAAATTTTTATTGGACAATTACATAATTTTTTTTTTTTTTTAATTTATGAAAAATAGAATAATATGGAAAATAATAATAAAATAGGCCTTTAAGGTGAACCGTTTTTATAATTTTTTTTTTTAATTTATTCACAATTACATTAATATTGACCATTCAGACAAAAAATTCCACACAATCCTAATTTCATTCAAACCTCTATTGTAATATGAATTGATTTGTCGATACGACATAAAATGATTGATTAATTTACTGTTGACAGCAGCAACAACAATAACAACAGTAATAACAAATTTCCAGTATAGATATATCATTGTTATACCGTATATATACAATTGCCATTGCTATTGATAGTGCATATGATGATAAATCATATAAATTATACAAAGTTTATTATATATATTTTATTTTTACCATTAAGCTCCACGCCTCCATTTTTCACCATTACTAAATTTAGTCATTTCTTTACCGCTGACTCCGCAAGTTCCGATTCCCACTCGTCCATTCACATTCTCTGGTGTTGCAAATATACTTTTTTTAACAACTCCCTTTTTGGCCGACTAAAAAATTCATTAAAATATTAATATTAAAGATTTAAAAATTAAATACTGGAAAAAAAAAAAAAAAAAAAAAAAAAAAAACTTACTTTAGTTGTAAATGCCAGCCATTTATTTTTTTCCTGTTCCCGTTCCTCTTCCAATTCCTTGAAACGCTGTAATTTTCTTTGCTTTCTCTTTTTCAAATATTCCCGTTGTTTGTTCGGATCCGCTCCAGCTGCCGCTGCCGCTTGTATTTTTCTATTTTAAAAATATAATAATTGCTATTAATGTCAGTAATTGAAATAATAATGGGTTAATTGTGCTTGTAATTAAAAATTGTAATTGTGTGTACTGTTTAAAAATTGTTACCTTTTTCTAATGAAATAAATCAGACGTATAATATATTTTGATATGTACATGTTTAATTGTTAAATAAATAAATAATCATTGGGAATTTCATACGATGGTGAGTGAATAAGCGCAAACAGGATTCGCATTCATAGATTAAGGGATCAAAAAAAGCTTTAATTAATATTTGTTAAATTATTTTTTTAAAAAAAAAATTAAAATTAAAATTAAAGTAGCAGTTATTTAATAAATTTTAGAATTTTTTAAAGAAATAAATTAGTGCCAAAAAAATTGACATGTAGAAATTTTAAAAAATTAAAAATGCAATTTTTTAAAAAAATTAAAAAATGATCAAGTGACTGCTAACTTTAATGTCATAAAATAAAACTCTAAAAAATTTTAATAAAATTAAAAAAAAAAAAACTTACTTGGATTTTTGATCAGCCCAGTCAGATGCTGGTCTTTTAGCAACTGACTTTAATTGATTCAACATTGTAACATCCGTGTTTTTATATTCCTTAAATGTTATGTTTACTAGTCCGTCTTCATTAATTGCGTCGATAGTCGCTTCATAGTATCTGTAAGGAAAAAAAAAATTAATTACTCAAAAAACAAAAAATAAAATAAGACTTACTTTCCGTCCTCGCTCCAGGGAGCCATACACTCTTCACCAGGTTTCCATTTGTTCGCCAAAACAGCCAGCAAAATCGGGTCCTTCGGGTCCATGCCATTTGACTGTTTTTTTTCCTGCTGCTGCGACTTTATCAGGTCCCGGGTCAGCTCGATAACTTCCTCGAGGTCTATTTTAAGTTTCATCAACTCTTCATTTGTAGGGTCGGTTGTCAATGCAGCTTCAACCTGGAAAACATCAACATTATTAATATAGGTTATATTTAATAACTATAAAAAATATTTACCTGCTGCAATTGTAATTTGTAGTTCTGCAGATCGTCCATTTTAATTTAAAAACTCAAACAAATGTTAAATTATTTAAAAATACTCAAAAATTTATGTCAATTAAAATTTTTTATATCCGTTGTCACAGTGTTATTGCTTTCAAGAAAAACAAGAAACTATAGTGTTTATTCTCAATAATAATCATCACAGAGGATAGAAAGTGCGCATGCGCAGTTCACAAAGTTCTATAGTAGTGTAAAAATAAAATAATTTTTAACTATATACTTGTCTGCCACCTTTAGTTACGTTTAATAAACTTTTCACTGATGAGCGCGTCGCGTTAATGATGGCCGCCGGAGTTTCGAGTTTTTAACTTTTGCCGCGGCAGCACTGAGCCAAATTTAAAAATGCGCGTGGCATTTCAAATGAATAGATGATAAATTAAAAGTTTTATATTTATAAAATAATAAGTATGAAATAATATTTTTAAATAAAATTTTAATTTCAATAAATAACCACGTGTTTTAATTTTAATCTTCCAACATAAAATTCTGAATTAATTCTAAAAAACTATATGAATGGATGCGCGGTGGCTTGCTATTGCTCTAAAAAATATTCGCGGTCACGAATGATTCGCGGTTGACCTATAAAAATAATAAAAATTACAAAAATCAGTAACCCCCAAAAAGTCATGTAAGGGACACTAGGGTGGGGGGTTGGAGTGGGGGTACCTGGAAAGTTGATATACCGAGGGGCAGCTACCCTATGAGGAGCTCAGTTCAGGGTGGGGGTTGGAGTGGGGGTACCCGGAAAGTGATATAAAGAGGAGCAGCCACCTTGAGCAGATCAGTTCCCGGTCGGCCGGCCAAGGGTGCACATCGAGCAATGATGTTGTAAACTTTGCCAGTCGTCCATTTTACCCTCTCGAGTAGTTTTTCAAGTGTAGAAAAAAAAAAAATAGAAAAAATTTTAAGTGTAGAGTCATACTCGTGTTAGTTATCGGTATTTTCATTAAACTTTCATCACGTTGCCAAATTGATTCGCGTTTTTGTGTTAATTGTTTGTAGATAATTTTCAAATTAAATTCAGACACATACACACACTTTACCCTAAACCCTTACTTATCTTTCTGTCTATCTTTCTAAACTGTATTCTCGGTCAGTTTTCATTTAAATTATAGAGTCATTGATTAATTTATAATTAGCTTCAACCCTTAATCAACCCAAACACCCACTCTCACACACACACACTTCCGGCTCTTATTCTTAAAGGAGTTTCTTTCAACTCTTTTGGGGAGAGTTTGCTAGCATTATAGATTCTCGCATCGTCTCGTAGTACTTAAAATGCGGGGTTAACAATTAGTTCGATGGTTTTTTGCGGCCTTTTAAATAATTAATAATTAAAAGGGGAGTTAGCGTAGAGTCAGTCGTCTCGGTGAATTTTTACAAAGCGCGAAGTATCGTTGCTTGATGATGGTGCGCAACATCATCTTGCATAATATAAGATCTTCCTGGGAAAGCAAATTAACCCTGATTTTTGGAAATTCATTTGGGATTAAACATGTTCACCCCTTGAGTGCCCGGGCGCGATTTGGGTGACGGTTTAATCTCTTTTTAATTTTCTCTGGTCAATTCTTTTGGTTTCCAAGCTTTAAAATTCATCGAACGACAATGTTTAAATAAATAATAGAAAAATAAATAGTCATTTTGTTGCTAACTGCCCCATTCTTGCTAGCGATTAATTTTTTTGCTAATAGCAATGATAATAAATAGTATACCATCGAGCTGATTTTGCGCAGTTCGCGGTTCGCGGTATTTTAGGGCATCACACACTATCTTTTCACATACACACTCACTCACTCACCACCCCCTTATTTTTGATTAATTAAGTAATAAACATCCGAAACTGACCGTGCCTACTAGCGTCACTTTTTTTCTCTTCCCTCTTTTTCCTTGTCGTGCGTCGTGAGAGCCAACTCAGACAAAACCACCCCTTACTTACACACTTCAATAGACCATCAGTTGCAATAGTTTTTTATAATTTACAATTAAATTCATCGTTAAATTAATTCATAAATAAATAAATAAATAAATAAATACAGTAGAGTTACGCGTGTGGGCACACATACAATTGAATCGCAAAAGGATTTGGATCGACTTTTTGCGTTCGATTCGTTGCCTTTTTTGTAATTTTTTTTTTCGTTTTGCAAATCAATTTGGTATTCATTATCAATACCATCCAATAATACCGATAATTAATGCGAGGTTTTCAATTATATAGTTCTCTCGTCATTAGATTAAATATAAATTAATAAATATAATGCAATAAAAATCGAGAGGGTATAAAAAGGGGGCTGCTAATACGTTTTTTTAGTGTGTTTTTACAGGAACCAAGCACAAGGACCAAGGACCCAGGACTCAATAATCCAATCAAGGACCAAAAAGTACGGATTACTCAAAAATAAAAAGTGTTATCAGTGATTATAGTGATTGAACAAGTTACTTAACAGTGTGTTCTGTGGTATGTTCAGGAGGAGGGACCAAGGATACCAAAATCAACCAAGGACCAAAAAGTAAGGATTTTTCAAGAATAAAAGTGTTAATGTGAATAGTGTTACAAGTGATTATTTGAAGATACTAATCAGTGATTGATTAATGTGTGCCCACCAGGGACCAAGGATCAAGGACTTAAGGATTCAGCCATATGGGATCAACGGACGCACCAAAGGACAAATAATTCAAGGAGGAGATTCAACCAAGAAGGAGCCAGAGGATTAAAATATTCATCGAGGGACTAAAATATTCATTCAAGGACCAAAAAGTAAGTAGTACACATCAAGAATAAAACGTATTATCAGTGAATATAGTGATTAAAGAAGTTACTAAACAGTGTGTTCTGTGGTATGTTCAGGGCGAGGGACCAAGGATAAATCACCAAGGATGACAAAATACTTCAAGGACAAGTACCAGCGATTCAACGACTCAAGGGAGTAGGAATAAGAGGACCAGCAAGTAATCGATGATCCAAGGATTCAAGAAGAAGCGAGGAAATCAGAGGACCAGAGCAGCCGATCAATTCAATCAAGGACTGGGATCAAGAGGACTAGGAACCAACAAAAGGAGTAAATAAGTATTTTTTTATTTTTTTATTACTTTTATTATTGTTAAACCATAGGTTACCAAGAATCGAGGATCAAGGACCAAGGATACTAAACTTCAGAATCCAGCCACGGGACCAAAAGACGCAGCCAAGGACAGAGGATTCTAGGACGAGGACCAAGGATCATAGGACAAGGAGACCAGTGTAACGAAGCGACCACATTCAACGAAGGACAACAAAAAAAGTATCAATCAGGTATTTTGATTACTATTTATCTTTTTTGATTTTATGTTTATTTACATTTCTAATAAACCTCCCCCATATTCATTCACCCCATAATAATAGTAATAATAATAATAATCATAATAATTTTTTAATTTAGCGCCCTCGTAGTTATTAAGCCCCAATCATAATGATAATTACATATATTAATTAATGTTTTAATTAGCACCGCAATATTTATTCATCCCCATAATAATTGTAATAATACTAATACATAATTCTTCTTTTCAGCAACCCGATATTTCTTCACCCCGATAACAATAATAATAATAATTGTTTAATTTAGCGCCCCCGTATTTATTAAGTTTCAATAATAATAATAATAATAATAATAATAATACTAATACATAATTCTTCTTTTCAGCAACCCGATATTTCTTCACCCCCGATAACAATAATAATAATAATAATAATTCTTTAATTTAGCGCCCCCGTATTTATTAAGTTTCAATAATAATAATAATAATAATACTAATACATAATTTTTCTTTTCAGCAACCCGATATTTATTCACCCCCGATAACAATAATACTAATAATAATAATTCTTTAATTTAGCGCCTTCGTATTTATTAAGCCCCGATAATAATAATGATAATTATATATATTAATTAATGTTTTAATTTTTACAGCGCTATATTTATTCATCCTCATAATAATAATAGTAATAATAATAATACTAATACATATAATTCTTCTTTTCAGCAACCCGATATTTATTCATCCCCGATAACAATAATAATAATAATAATAATAATAATAAATTTTATTCATATATGTATGTATGTATGTATTTACACATTGTAATAATAAAAATTGTTATACTACTCTCTAAATCTGAAACAGTGAAAATCACTGGAAATTAGTAGTAAATTCACTATTTCACCGATTCATTTTTAGAGAGTAGTATTTTGTAAATCGTGTAATTGTATGCGTGTGGATAATAATTATTTTGTGTGACGTATGATGTGTGTAATTTTTTAGCCACTCTAAAAGGTGGTTTAAGTATATGTAAGCTGTGTCGGCCAGGTTTCCCTGGGGTTCCCTAACAGTTTGGCTCTGTAATGCCAAACGAAGGCCGGTACAATTAATATCGTTACCGGTTAACGATATTAATTGTAGGTGAATACGCACAGTTGCGTCCCCAGTCGCGTATTTTTTTTTTTTTTTTTTTTTTCAATAAAGCGAATACTCGCCCTAACGAATAAAATTCCGCCTTATCATTTATCTCAACCTTTTTCCTTTAGTCTTAATTAGCTCTTAAGTAGATTATAGTTAAATTTAAGAAAGATTTCTACAAGTTCCTGGAGCAGTTTCAAGGATATAATCATACGGTAATTATATCTTATTTATTTAATAACTATTAGTTAAATTTAATTAAACAAAAAAACAATATGAAAAATTATAGACAAAAATCAGACAATAAAAAACAATAAAAGAAGTCAATCGTTCTCGAATTAAAATTAAATCGAATCGAGTTTATCTAAAATTAATCATTATTACTTATATTAAAATATATCACCCGGGTGTTGCTCGAATATCCGATATTATTTTATAATTGGAAGCAAACATAAGGCCGTCACAATTAATGTCGTTGTTGATTCACGACATTATAATTATATAGGTTATTGATCTGTACAATTGCGCCCTTATAGTTGTGTAAACATTTTTTTCTACTCAATAAAACGAATTATTTCGCCTTATTGGATAAATTCTGACTTTTCATTTGATTTTTCCTTTTCCTTTAGTTATAATTAGCTTGTAATTAGCTCGTAAGTAGTTATTAGTAAGTAGATTTATGAAAGATTTCTCCAATTTCTTACAACAACTTCAAGGATCATATAATAAGGTAATTATATCTTATTTATTTAATAACTATTAATTAAATTCAATAAAAAAAAAAAAAAAAAAAAATTGATTGCTAAATCATAGACAAAAATTAGAAAATAATAAAATTTAACAAAAGATTCGCGTCTGACTAAAATAAAACTTTACTACTTTAACTGCTGAAGATAGTGTCCGGGTCTTGCTTAAATATTTGCCGTCTGACTAAAATAATTTTTTACTACTTAATTGAAAATCAAGCCAGCGTTTCACTTAAATATTAAGTAGAATAATTTTTGGACTATTTTAGACCTACACTACATAATTAGACATTCTTTTGGTTAACTAGTTAAATGTTTTTCGTCTGAAGAAACTACATATAGACAGAGTTTCGGGCAATTAAAATTTTATACTTACCCTGATTTACTGCAAGCTGCATCAAAAATATTTCAAAGAATCATACTTAAATTGGCTTAAAGACTAATTTCAACTAAAAGAAAATGAATCAGATAAATAATAAGACAGAATTTTTTTTAAGGGTGAAATGATTTGCTTTATTAAAAATAAAACAACATTTATCTACAATTAATATTATTAATCGGTAACGACATTGATTGTACCGGCCTTCGTTTTGGTCTTCTTCTAATTTATTCCATTCAAGTAGTATAAACCCAATTTAGTCAGGCGGTGAATATTTAAACATAACCCAAGTCTCTTATGTTTTAAATCAAGTGGTATAAACTTGTTTTAGTCAGATATTATATTTTTCAACATATAACCCGTCATGGGTTATTTTGAATGAAGTAGTAAAAAATTAATTTAGTCAGACGATTTATTTTTGATGAGCATGCCCACCCGGGTGTATTTTTTTTATTTTAATCAAGTAATGTAACTAAATTTTAGTATGACGCGATATTATTGGATAATTTATTTTAATTCTAATATATTTTTTATTAATTACAATTGTTAAAGTGTTGTTTATAATGTAATTGTTCCATAACATTTATTTATTTAAAAATCTAATCATCAATTATCATATTTTAAAGAATCAAAATGCGCTCAATAAAACTATAATAATTTGAATTTGAATTTATTATCCCGCGAAGTAATATGTGACTGACCGTAGAGCCACCTGCAGTTTGATTTACGAGTAACGATAATGGCGACGCGCGCGCGCAAGCGGGTGACACACATTTTTCTAATTTCTACATTTCTCTCCTCGTGACTCGTGATGCTCGTAATGTGCACTGCGAGATGAATAACGTATACGACAATATAATTTAAATTTACAATTCTTGATTTTAGTGTATACCTACTTAAAGTATTATTATCAATTAAAACACTATAAAAAAACAAGTCAATAATTTAAAAGTGAATAATAAAATTAAAATGAATTAACGTGCTATTTAGTTTGACAATAAAAAGCAACATGTGAGTGTAAAATGTGAAAAGATAATAATAATAAATAATTTTTGTTCTGTATTTTAATACTTAAGTTTAAATTATAAGTTAATTCGGAATATATAATTATTTTGGTACTTTTTTATAAACTCAATAAATTCAATACCTATAAAATATATTTATTATTTTTCTTAAAATTTTTTAAACTAGACAAAGTAAAATATTTTTAATTCTTAAACTAGAAAATTTTAATTATAATTATTAATATTTTTGTTTTTTAAAAATAATATAATGCGCGTGCGTAAAAATTTTCTTACCAACATTCAACAAGACAGAGTGATTTATTCTCTATGAAAATATATTATTGTTGTTGTGTTAGTTTATAATCTCCTGCAGTCACCTGATGATGATTATAGCTGTAATAACCTGTCAATTTTTTCGACATTATTATTGTTAATATTTAAATTACAACAAAACAGAACAATTATAAAGTTAGAAGATTGGAAGATTGTTAACTACAATAAAAAAGTTTTCTAACATAATGCAAAAAAAATAATTGTCAACAGAAGTATTATTAACAAAACAATAATAATAATAATAATAATAATAATGGTTATTGAAAAAAAATTGAGTGTTTAACAAAAGTGTTCTGATGTGGTCTGATGATGGGGTGGACCAAAGTAATGTCAATATGGGCAGTCACTTGGGCCTTTTGCTTGATAGTCCGGGGGCTGGTTAATCCTTCCTCGCTGCCTCTGTCCTCGGGCTCCTCGCCTTCAATGTCTCAGCAGAATGTCAAGCAAGTTCCCTGCGACAAAACTCGCAAGATATTTACAAACTCATGGGGAGTAATCAGCGACGGGCCTATGGGTTCTAATTACACCCAGGATTCTCACTGCGAGTGGCTTATTAAAGGTTTCAAAAAAAAAAAAAAAAAAACAATTTATTAACATTATCAATTATTATAATTATTTTAAAAATTTTTCAGCAAACAACAGCAGACAATTTATAACCTTGAGCTTCAGGACAATGGGAACAGAGTGCAGTTATGATTACGTATTTGTATACGACGGAGATTCATTTCGTTCGCCTCTTCTAGGCAGCTTTAGTGGCAAAACTGAGCCTCAGCAAGTGACATCATCATCCGGTTATGTGAGTTTTATTTTTTCCTCAATTATAATTACAATAATTATTCATAATAACAATTAATTGTCTTTTAGATGCTAATTCTGTTGTACAGCGACACTAACTACGTTTTAGACGGATTTCATGCCGAGTTTTCAGTTACTGATTGTCCAAACAACTGCACCAGGCACGGCAAGTGCATCAACAACACCTGTGTCTGTGAAAATGATTGGGGAGGAAAGGATTGCTCAAGGGAATTGTGTCCAAACAACTGCAGCGAGGCTGGGACTTGCGGAGTCAAACGGTGCCAATGTCGGAAAGGTTTTTCTGGACAATCTTGCTCCTTGCATGCTACTCATCCTGATGGTAACAAGTATGTATTGATTTTTTTTTTTATTATTTTCATATTGATAATGATGATGATGATAATTTATTATTAGATGGCATTGGTTATCGCATTCAGAGGGTGGAATGACACCTCGAGCTGCTCACACAGCCATCTATGACAGCAAAACAGATTCTCTCTACGTATTTGGTGGTTACAATCTAAACTACGTCCTCAGTGACCTCCAAGTCTATCGATTCAACACCAGTCAGTGGGAAAACGAATTTGGGCAAGTGCTGGAAGGTGCTTCTGCTGCTGAATATTTGGACCCCATGCTAATTGCTGGTGAATTGGAACGTATTGGACTGAACGGTGCTGAAGAAAAGTACGGAATATCATCGAGTTCGTTGGTCTGGAAGGTCCTCTCCAATATAAAAAATAGTTCAAGCAGTTTCAATTTTCGGGACAGTATCAGGAGCGCTGCTGACAGCGGTGATAATAATTGGCGAGAATTCATCGGCGGGCCTGATTATCATTTTACCAGACCTGCTAGAAAAAAACGACAGGTTCCGGTAGAGACTACACCTCTGCCAGATGATGATGATGATGATATGGTTGTGATAAAAGTAAATGACAATGAAAACCAGGAAAAACAAATCCTGAAAAGTCATCCTAGTCCAAGATACGGCCACGCGGCCTGTAAGTACAAAAATGGATTTGTTATTTATGGAGGAAAATTGGCTAATGGGTCACTGTCAAATCATCTCTGGCACTACAATATTGAAACGAGAGTTTGGACTCTGAGAGCAAGAGAGTCTGGGTTGATTCCTCCACCGCTTACTCGACATACTTTAACCCTTGCCGGTGATGATTATGATCAAAAAAACGGTTTTATATACCTATTTGGAGGAAGCACAGTTGACGGAGAATTCTCCTCAAGTTTGTACAGTATAAAGTTAAATTTTACCCATCCGGAAGAAGAACAGTGGCGCCAATTGGTTGTTCGCGGTGGAAAAGAATTGGATGTGCGAGTTGTCGCTCACTCAACTGTCTATCACAAAGCGACAAATTCACTGCTGGTGTACGGTGGTGTGGTAGCAAGCGTTGCGAGGTTCAGCAAACTCTCTGACAGGATGTTTGTCTTTCAGTTGAACCGCAAAGTCTGGTCAGAGATTCATTACCCGCGTGCACATCTCCGAGACACTTATGTTCCGCGAGAGCGCGCTTTTCACACTTGCAACATTGTCGGTAATTACTTGGTGGTATTTGGCGGGTACTCCCATCGACACAATAAGGAAGAAATTTGTTATGACAACCAGATGTACTTGTATCACTTGGGCTGTCATGTCTGGATTAGCCACGAGGTCTTTGGAGTCACCGATCACAGAGACGGTGCTGGATATCCCAAACAACAGGGAGTTTTTGCTCATGCAGCTGATGTAAGGAACGGCAATACTTTGTTACTTGTTGGTGGGTATCACGGGAACGTAAATGCTGATCTTTTGGCGTACACTTTGCCGCCGATGCTGGCACCCGGTGACGGTGATTACACTGGAGCTGAGCCAGAGCAGCTTTGTTTCAAGCACAAGACCTTTACAGAGTGCTCTGCCAATCCAGAGTGTGGATGGTGTTCTGCTGACGAGATCTGCTATGGAAGAACAATCGGAAGTAATTGTACAACCAATTTACAAACTTCCCGTTGTCCTGGTGTGTGTCCTGCTTTGGGTGATTGTCACTCTTGTTTGATTCACGGACAGCCCAGCAGCGGAACCGGCAACTGGGGAACCAATTCTCGGGGAAAAATTTCTATTTCAAACAAGTTAAACCTTGGAACGTGTACTTGGTGTGTTCAAAATGCCCGTTGTCATCACAAAGACGATAATTATGGCGTGTGTGGTCTGCGTGATGACACTTTGTCCCAGATTCCAGGCTGGTGGGGACCAAAAGGCACTGAAATAGTAAGAGTAGATGAGTGTCGTGAGCTGGATCGTCGACCTGGATTGACGTTTCTCAAGTACAAACCTCCTGTAAACTTCACCCAACCGGATTCAGTTACCATTGTCAATGCTACGACTATTGATTTCAATGTTCCATCTATGCAAGGCGCTAAAACAGAGTCTGGCCTAGGTGGAGAGATGATTGCCCGGCTTACCGGGTTCCTCAGACTTCCGCAGTACTTTTGGGATGACAGCGCTGAAAATTTAAAGATTTGTGTTAGCTACAACAGCGCTACTCTACGAGTCACTCACAATCTTGATGATCGTGATAGTAGTGATGAAAAATTGGAATTTGTGGCTAATTTAACTGCTGAAACATCCCAGTGTATTCCGACAAAATGGCCCGATGGAACGAAAATGTCGCTACAGCCAAATGGCCGGTATTTTCTGGACTTTGAATCGAAACGAATGGTCACTGTGAATTACGCCTACCCGAGTAAAATGGAAATAACTCACAGCAAAAAATCAGAGAACCCCAAGGTCTTTACTTTTGAGTACCTTGAACCGTATCAGAACGGAACTTGCAGTCAGTACAGCAATTGTCTTCACTGTTTGACCGATTCGTCTTGCGGATGGTGTGAGTTGAACAACAAGTGCTTGTCTCGTGCTCTCAATGAAACTGAAAGCTGTTTAACCACTGTCGAGTATAACCACAAAAATATTACCGAGTGGCGTTATCTGACCATAACGCCATCTACATGTGCCAATTGCTCAAACTACATAACCTGTGAGTCCTGTGTGACGACCAGTTTGTGCGAATGGTGGACCGAAGAGGCCAGATGTGCTCGAATTGGTCGACTACCCAACAGTATTCTCAGTGTCGATCAGTGTCCTATTCCGTGTCGACACAGAACCAACTGTACTCAGTGTTTGGACGAAAAAGGCCGCTGTGTTTGGTGTGAAGCGACACATGAGTGCTTTTCCTTCTCTGTTTATACTTCAGAGTACCAGTTTGGGTTGTGTCGCGAGTGGATGGACCAAGCTGGTCTGATGGGTGTCACTTCTAGGTCCTCATCATCATCATCATCATCATCATCATCATCATCATCATCATCATCATCATCATCATCATCATCATCGGATCAAGGATTCTCTTCGGGAAACTATCAGTGTAAAAGTTGTAGCCGTCATACCAACTGTACAAACTGTTTGCACTCTTTGAGTTGTGGTTGGTGCTACAGTCTTGATAATCCAATCACTGGAGTTTGCGTCCAGGGTGATTTTAATCGGCCCCATGTCAATTGCAGTCTTGCCATCAATGATTACTACGCGATAAACGAAACGACGTTGATAAATCGTGAATCTGGATGGGCGTATGCCCAGTGCCCGGATGTCGATGAGTGTGATCTTGGACTACACGACTGTCATCCCAACGCTATTTGTACCAACACTCACGGAAGCTACAGCTGTCAGTGCAAGCGAGGGTTCAACGGTGATGGTCGGGAAAATTGTACCAAAACTTGCTACGAAAAGTGTGTTAATGGTTATTGCAGTGAAGCCCCAGATTACAAATGTGAGTGCAATCTTGGATGGACTGGCCCCGATTGCAAAACCAATTGTGGCTGCTACAATCATTCAACTTGTATTAGTGCTGTAGGAGTGTGTGATGAATGCCAAGATTGGACTACAGGTCAATACTGTGAGGAGTGCAAAGCTGGAAGCTTCGGTAATGCCACTACGTCGTTGGGATGCAGGAAATGTAATTGTAACGAGCATGGAGACCGCGATATTGATTACTGTGATCGACAGACTGGCAAGTGCTTCTGCAAAGACAACACTGAAGGCGAAATGTGTGAAAAATGCAAAAAAGGTTACTACGGAGATCCAAAAAATGGCGGAATGTGCTATTACGGGTGCATGTCTCGTGGAATGCTCACTGGACCTCAAGGTGGAATGACTGGCAAGCAAGGTCTAGGGAGTAGATACTCCCAATTATCACTTTGGGAGAGTCATCTTGCTGGTAGTCCTACTCGCGAGTGTCTCTGGATTGTCCGTCCATCCAACGGTCAGTTAATGACCAATTCCAGTGATGATAATAATAACAATGATAATGATGATGATGATGATGATGATGATGATGATGATATCGCTCCTCAGAGCATCATTCAGTTTACAATTAATGAAGATATCAATGTAAGCTGTCAGGAAAACAGTGTCTATGTCTACGACGGTCTCCCTGATTTTGTTTCATCGACCAGCAGCCATCAGAGCCAACTGTTGGGTGTTTATTGCACTGAAAGTACCAACTACCCGGTGACTGTTGAAGCCAAGTCGGGGACTCTCACTGTTCATTACAAACAACTGGATGAAGTTGAAGGGTTCAACGCGAGCTACATTGTTATGACTTGTGGGATAAACTGTCCGGAAAATAGAGAATGTAGAAACGGTCAGTGTCTTTGCAAAGTTGGTTTTGTTGGTATTGATTGTGATGTTGAATTGTGTCCAAACAATTGCACTTCCTCGAAGAAACAGGGTGTCTGTGATAAAAGTTACGGCCACTGTGTCTGTGCGGTTGGATTTGGTGGTCGTGATTGCTCAATTAAATTAAAGTCTCATCAATTGGTATTCACGGAACTGTTCAATTCCGAGTATCTTGCTGATAATTTGGATCACTTACGGAAGACACTACCAAGATTTGGACACAGTCTTGTTGCAGATAGACGAGGAAGTCTCTGGATGTTTGGCGGGTACTCACTGAGCCATGGTCCGTTGAATGACATTCGTCTTTTCGACACTAGAAACAATACTTGGATGCCGGTCACCGTTGAATCTACTTCGGAGGCTTCTATGCCTCAAGGCCGGTACTTTCACGCTGCTGAGATAGTTCACAGTCGTCAACAGATTTACGTCTACGGAGGATTGTCACGCAAAGAGGAAGGTGTCAGTGGATTGTCCAACAATACACTGAGTGATTTTTGGAAGTTTAGCTTACAAAATCAACGATGGAGTCTTGTTACTAAACACATTTTTTCTCCACCAGCGGCATCTACCACAGCAACGACGACTACTACTACTACTACTACTACTACTACTACTACTACTACTACTACGACAACTGTAAATTCTGAGGCTAGAGCAGTCCCCCCACCATTAGCAGGACACACTTTGACTCTACGTCGCAACGCCGAGTCAGAGAGTTTGATTTTAATCGGTGGTTTCAGTCCCAAATATGGATATCTAGACAGTGTCTGGGAATTTAATTTAGAAACAGAGTTATGGTCGGTGATGACAACACGAGGAAACGGTCCTCTGGGTGTCTATGGACACTCGACAGTTTATCACACCAAATCCGACAGTTTGTATGTATTTGGTGGGTATACTTACGCTGTCAATCGAACGTTTATATCAAATAAATTGTACGCTCTGAATTATAAAACATACACGTGGTCTGTCCTTCCGCCTTTTAATGACAACAATGACAACACTGAAGTTGGTAGTTTACCTCAAGCAAGATTTCTTCACTCTGCTGTAACTACTGATGAGTACATGGTGATTTTTGGTGGTCGCCAGAATCCGTACAACACCAACGATTCGTTAATCGCCTACGAGTATGCCTGCAATTTATGGATTCGGCTGATTACTAAAGACACTGAAATAATTGGAATTCCTCCTCCACCGGCGTATGCTCACGCGATGACTCACGCTGATCCAGAAGTTAATGCAATCTATGTCGTAGGTGGATTTGACGGTGGAATAAACAGCCATGTCACTCAAATAAACATTCCAGACGATCTTTGCAATTTATGGACAGAAAAAATTGTCTGTAGAAAGTATTTCGGGTGCTCATTTTGCTCGGTAATCACCATTGCAGGTAACAACGAGTCGTATTGTTTTTCAAACCAGCAGAGTTCAGCGACTCACCGTGTTGATAAATGCAACACCAACGTTACCATGTCGCAGCGGTCGAACGGTGTTTACTGCAATTACGAGTGGATGGCCAGTCGAAAGTGTCAAAACTTGAAAAGCTGCACAGAATGCTTGGCACAGTGGCCTTATTACCGTGATAATGAGGATGAGGATGACGAGGACGTCACACCTATTTGTAAATGGTGTACAAATTGTCCGACTCCTTATGGTAAGTGCATACCCGCGGAAAAGGACTGCGATGAGCAAAACAAATGCAACTCACGGCAAGTTTCAATAATGGATGTTAATCAGTGCGGGGAGAGACAGTGTCCTGCTAGTGATTGTGAAAAGTGCAGCAAATTGGATGAAGACTGCGTTTGGACGCGTCAGGTACTAAAAACTTCCGAGTTTGGCGTAAAGATGACCAGCGAGCCTATTTACGACTGGAACTGTGTCTCCAAAGATATATTTGAGCGGTCGAGTATAAAAATGGCAAGCAGCAGTACTACGTGTGAAGCTAGATGCAGCGATCACAAAGATTGCTCAAGTTGTTTGCGAGGAACTGGAGCTGAAGGTGGCTGGCACGAGTGTCGTTGGTCTACTCAGTTGAACGAATGTATTTCTCCATCGTATCAGCCTCTTTACTGCGCTGGAGGAGTTTGTGGTTTGGTATTGCGTAATTCAGACATTCTACAGTGTCCAGAACCTTGCTCGGTGTTTAAGCAATGCAGCACCTGCTTGAAACACTCTCACTGCGGATGGTGCTCTCTCGACTCTACCAACATTACTGGACAGGGAATTTGCACCGAGGGATCTCTTGAAGCACCCACAGATCATCCAGCTGGTGGTACCTGCGAGATGCTATTCAACCAACTTAATCCACCTACTGAACGTAAGTATTTTATTAATAATTTTTTTTTTTTTTTTTTTTTTTTTTTATTTTATTTAAATTTAAGACTTTATGACTTTTTAATTTTTAGCTATTACAACGACGGTAATGCCTCATGATTTCACAGATGCAATCGTCATCGAACAGGATTTCATTGATCTGATTACAAATGAAACATTTTCAATAGTTAACACTAAAATGTTATTTTCCTGGCACTATGTACGCTGTCCTCCGGAAAATGAATGCATCAATGGTCATCATACTTGTTCAGCAAAGAGCGAAAAATGTTTTGACCTGGATGAAGGTTTTGAGTGCATGTGTGGAGACGGTTACAAGAATGAAACAACCTGGTCAACGTCTCTGTCATTTTCATCATCATCATCATCGTCCTCGATGTTAACATTACCGTCAATGAATGAATATGGACGAAAAATGTGTGTGCCAATGTGTACTCAAGGTTGCGTTCGCGGAACCTGTATAGAGCCAAATGTATGTCGCTGTGATTTTGGATACGTCGGTGCCAACTGTTCTATTCAGTGTCAATGCAACGGACACAGCAACTGTGCTGGTCCAGACAAACTTGATGTGTGTCTAAAGTGTCACAACAACACCATGGGTGCTCAGTGTGACAAATGCGAGCCGCTCTATGTTGGCAACCCTGCAGACAACGGACAGTGCGTTCCGTGTTTGGAATACTGCAATGGTCATACTCGGATTTGCATCAACGAAAGCATGACAGTCTCTGATCCTAATTCAGTGGATCGCATGTCCATTGAATTGCTTCAGAAACAATTGATAGAAGGACCAGTTGCCAAAGCAAAGTGTGTCAATTGCGGGAACAATACTCGCGGTGATAAATGCGGTGAGTGTGTGTCTGGTTACTTCCGTGGTACTGAAGATTTGCGTGATGTTTGTCGACCGTGTGAGTGTCACGGTCACGGTAACACATGCGATCCAGTTACCGGTGAAAAATGTAATTGTGGAAACAACACAGAGAGCGAACCACTGTGTACCAGCGGACCATCTAAGTCTGGTAATCCAGGTGGTGGAAAACCTTGCTGGATGGTACAGTGCAGCAAGTGTCGAGAAAATTATGCTGGAAATCCAACTATGGGCCATCAATGCTACAAAACAGTTACTGTTGACAATAAAATGTGTTTCGATTCAAAGTTGATTGACGAGTGCAAGCTCAAGCCAAAACCACTAAATCCAGGTCAAACTGTCTTCTATATGGTTCAACCCAGATTTATGAATGTTGACATACGAATAATGGTGGATGTCACCCAAGGAGCGCTAGATTTATTCCTCAGTCCCCGTGATGACTCCTTTGTAGTGACAATAAACTCGACGACAGGTTATCAAGATGTTGAATTGGACGGTAGATTCAAGTGGCGGAAAGATCACTACGACAATTGGTTTGAAGATGATCACTCTATGCTGGATCGAATTCGTATCGTTGAATTTCATCCCCACTCGCCTTACTCCCCTTACTCCCCTTACTCCCCTTACTCCCCTTACTCCCCTTACTCGTCGATGATCAATTCGTCTGGACAAGTGGAACAGACCAACTGGAACAACGGACCGCAGTTCTTAGTAATGGAACGCTACGCTTCAGACAATCTCGCTACCTTTGTTACTATTGAACAGCGAAATACCTTTTTGGTAATTCGGAATCTTACCAATCGACTGGTACTGACACTACCGGAAGATAAACACGAGCTAGGTCTAACAAAGTTCCATATTGCTTTGAGAGCCATAGACCCACCGTATGTTGTTGATTCAGCAGGAGGACGCGCTGCATATGGAATGATATTTTTCCGTCAAGATCAACTGCACATTGATCTCTTTGTATTTTTTTCAGTATTTTTTTCTTGTTTCTTCCTGTTTTTAGCAGCGTGTGTAGTCGCTTGGAAGACAAAGCAAGCTGCCGATGTCAGACGAGCAAGAAGACGGCATGTTGTTGAAATGCTTCACATGGCCAAACGACCATTTGCTTCAGCGATTATTCTTTATGACAATCGGGATGGAAATCTGGGAGACAGTCCAACTTCACCTCAACAACGGAAACCCGCCAGGTTGGCAAGGAACAAAATAGTTAATTTCCACAGTGACGTAAGACCCGTGGCCGTTGAACCAACGGACGATGGTGTCGCTGCTGTAGCGACTGTTTTTATCAGGCTTCCCGGTGGTCCCCATGCTCCCGTTAAATTAGCCCTTGGAAGCTCCTTGATTCTACTGACGCGCGTCTATCCAGTAAACAGTCGCGTTTTTTTACGCCGTCGTAACAGTCACGCTGTAAGTTAATAAATTATGATAATTATGAAAAGTAAACTTTGATACCATGACCGATTTTACACCAGTGATTAATTATGTATTATAATAATAATAATAATAATAATAATAATAATGAATACCGGTATAAATTTTTTCTATGTAAATATTATTAAAGATATATATATATTTGTCTCTTTTTGTATATTAATTAATTTTTATTATTGTTATTGTAAAAAGATGTTGTAATAAATTATGTCTGTATAATTTAATTATCTGTACAGATTTGTCCACGTACTATTTTGATGATTAAATATATAAAAAACAAATGAATCTTCCATTAATTAATTATAATTAATTAAGATTAAGATGATGATAACAAGTATTGATATTAAATATAGTTGATGTAATGTTTTTGCAAGAAAATTTTAACAATTGCCTCATATATTGTATATAATTAATTTATGCATTTATAATAAATAAATATTAAAACAAACCTATAGTGTATTATTATTATTATTATTCTATTGGTGGGGAGAGTGTTTTGACTCTGTTGCCATGACAACCAGCAGGTGTAAATTCCTATTTCTCTGTTTACATACAACAACAGTATTAAATATATAATAGTTTTAAACGATGAAGTTCAAAGTGTCGTTGTGGGAAAAAAATGGTCACACAAAAATAGTAACATGCGTCGCGTGGAATTCCGCTGAAGAAATATATTCTATTGGTGAAGATCATGTTTTACTTTGTTGGCATTTGGACGGTAGTTCGGCTCAAACGACAAAAATTGCCGAGTTTCCGGAGGATTTTTATCCGACTGACATGCAATGGCATCCTCGAGCGATACAAAACACTGGAACAAGCATAAAAAAGCAATCGCACGACGTTGTTCTGATAACCACTGCAGACGGCAAGTTTTACTTGGTCAACAAGAGTGGAAGGATTGAAAAGACTGTTGACGGCCACAAGGGCGCCATTTTGAGATGTAGATGGAGCTACGATGGTTCTGCGCTTCTCACTGGTAACTCTTTCCAAGTTTTCTTCTTTTATTAGAAGATGAAAAATTTTTATTTTATTTTTTAATTATTTACAGCCGGAGAAGATGGAGTTATTAAAGTGTGGTCCAGAAGCGGAATGCTGCGCTCTACAGTGGTTCGTAGCACCCACGCAATTTTGTCAGCCGTCTGGAGCCCAGACTCTTTAAATATTCTTTACTCTCAAGGCTCGCAATTGGCGCTACAGCCCTTGAATTTTAGCTCTAAATCCAAAAAGTGGTACGCCCATGAAGGATTAATTCTCACTGTCTCTTGGAACCGTAACAATAATTTCATAATCTCTGGAGGTGAGGATTGTCGGTATAAAGTTTGGGACGGGAATGGGAATTTGTTATTCACCAGCGCTGCAGCAGAGTATCCGATAACTTGCGTAGAATGGTCTCCCAATGGGAATTATTTTGCTGTTGGTTCCTACAACACCATCAAACTCTGCGATAAAACTGGGGTAAGTATTTTCATTATTATTTTAATAATTTTATTGTTTTTTTTTTTTTTTTTTTTTTTCTTCTTCTAGTGGTCACATTCATTGGAAAAAGTAAACACTGGAAGTATCTACAGCATCGGTTGGTCCAATGATAGCACTCAGGTAGCCATGGGATGTGGAAATGCAGCTGTTTTGATGGCTCACGTTATAGACAGGTTACAATTATTTATTTAATTAAAAATTTTTCTAAATAATTAAAAAAAAAAAAAAAATTTCAGGCGGCTTGAATGGGAAAACTATGAAGCGACATTGATTAAAAGAAAGACAATTCAGGTGAGAGAAATAGGAAACAACAGTGGAGTTGTTGAGATGCTCGAGATATCCGACCGAGTTGTTCATATGGAATTAGCCTTTAATTATCTGGTTGTTGTCACGACAAATCAGTGTCACATTTATTCCTCGACAAACTGGAACACACCAGTGATATTTGACCTGAAAAATTCAACAATATCTGCAGTTATTCTAGCTGAAAAGTATATATAATAATAATTATTTATTTTTGTATTACATGTATATAGTAATTGTTGGTTTATTTTATTACAGGCATTTTTTGCTGATTGAATGGAATGTAATGACGCTGTACAGCTACCAAGGACGGTTACTGAGTGTCCCTAAGTGGAAAGGAATGACTCCAGACGAGGCACTTTATCCTCCTTGCATAGCACTTTGCTCGGATACTCTCGTTCTTCGTGATCAGGCCAATGAAAAATGTCATTTACTTTATTATTATTATTATTATATTAGTCTATAGTTTTTTTCTTTATTATAATTAATTTACTGGGAATTTCAGTGCTGCATATTTTAGAATTGTCGAGCAATAAACCGGTCAATGAAACCCACCCGCATCTACATACCTGTAATGTCAATGAGATAGCGATTAATAGAATTGGAGGAGCTCACGATCGACAGCTCGCTTTTATTGACGTCACAAGAGATTTATTTTTAATAACAATACGTTCTAGTGGGTTTGGCCGTATTTGTAAGATAGGTGAGTTATTTTTTTTTTTTTTTTTTTTTCTTTGTTCTCGTTAATTTTAACCTAAAAAATTTAAACTCTAGCGGCAATGGCGCAAAGTATAAGCTGGGCGATAGACGCAAATGTACTGGCAGCCATGTTGGACGCAACTTTGTCTATTTGGCTGTGTCCTAACTGCGTTCATTACAGCGATAGAAAAATAATCCGTCGTACAAGAATAGACAAAGAAAACAAGTAAGTTAATTTAAAAATTTTTTTTTTTTTTTTTTTTATTGAAAATAATTAAAAAAAATTTCAGTGAATTTGGTAAACAACCGAGTATCGTAAATGTTAAAAATGGAATAGTGACCGTGAGACGCGGTGACGGAGCACTGATTGCAGTATCATTTTACACATTCTTCACGACACTTCATCACCATGTTATGAATAATAAATGGCAAGATGCGTTATCTCTTTGCCGAATAACCCAAAATGATATTCTTTGGACGTGTATGGCGGTAATGGCTACTGAAAATAAGCAACTGAGCGCCGCTGAGGAAGCCTATGCCGCTATTGAACGATACGACAAAGTCGATTACATTCAGTATATAGATAAAATTTCCAACAAGACTGAAAAACTCGCCGAGATGTCTCTTCTCGCAGGTGATTTGCTCGCTGCTGAGGGTATTTTACTTCAACACGGATTTATCGATCAAGCTATTCGAATTAATATTCAAATGTACAATTGGAGTAGAGCACTTGAACTTGCGGTCAGACACAAAAAACAAGTTGATCAGGTTTTAGAAGCGCGAGAAATGTATCTCAAGTTGCTTGACAAAAAAGAAACTAATCCCAGTTATATTTCTTTGATTAAAACAACTCGATGTAAATCATCGGTAAGTTATATATATATATATATTAATTAAAAATTATAATTTATAATATATTATTATTATTAAAAATACAGAGCAATATAATCACAGAAATGGAGGTAGAGGCTGATGATGATGATAATAATAATAATAAATCTGATGACGAGGATTAAGAAAATATAAAAATACGTATCAATAATGCTAGTCCCATTATTAACGTCGTTGATACAAGTACTATCAAAGTGTCACGTTCTTGCCAGGTGTCTGAGTCAATACTTGTCCGGCATTTGTTACTCAATCCAATCTACAATAATAAATATTAATTATTCTTCATTAAAAGAGATTTAATAATTATACTATCAAAAGCTTAATTTATTTTCACTAAAGTATGAAACAAAAAAAAATTACTGACTTTTTCTTGAAGAATTGAATTTACTCAAAGAAATATATTTTAAAAAAAAAAAAAAAAAAAAAAAAAAAAAAAAAAAAAAAAATGTATCTTTTTTTATACTCAAATTTCCAATCGATAAGTAAAAAACTTATTGAGCTTCTAGTGTAATTAATTTAATTACCCATCCTCCATTGGCTTGGATCCAACTAGCCAAATCCTCTTCAAGAACAATAGTCATGGCTCGTTGAATAGCTCCAATAAACTCTGGTTTGCCCTGGCGAACGCAATCGACAGCAATTCCTCCAGCAACCGAGTACAGGGAAATAATTTTTCCCCATGTCATTTCACCACCTACTCTTAAAAGTTCCCTCGACACGTCAGCAATAGCCTCCATGGCTGTCTGTTCATTTGAAAATGATCCAGCACCGATTTGTCGGGCAATATTTGTGTACAATTTTGGATGAAGTTTCTCAAGCTCGGCCCCGAGACTCGTCAACACCGGGCTTACTTCAGACACCACCAGAAGTCCCTCAGAGGACATGATCGCGCCGCTTCTCATTCTCTTGAGCCCGAGTTTCTTTTGGAAAATTCCCGAACGCTTCAAACGATTTTTTATGTATTGTCCACAGAGTACCGATCCCTGTTTGTGTCAGTAAATAATTATTCATTATTATTACTGTGTTAATATTTAATTTATCTAAATAAGTACCTGCATAACCGTGAGTTCGACGTTGGTAGATAAAGACCGCCAGCCAATTGTATCAGATATTTTTTTGGACACGACATCACTGACGTTGCTCAAACGTCTTCGAGCAGAACCCGCGACACCTTGAAATGCCAAACCGTCCGGCAAATTCAAAAGTGACAGGCTGCTTCTCCGAACATTTACAGTGACAGGCGGCACTGATAATAATAATTTATCCTCTAGTTTATTAACCACACGCGATACCATCGGTAATTATAGTGACACTTAATAATTATTAAAAAAAATACAAGAATGAAGATTAGATGCGTGCGGTTGCCTCGACGTACACACTGCGAATATAAAAGTTAAATCTACTTACTGTTACTGAATTATCCCAACTGTAACTAGTTGTAAGTGTGCAGTTGTGTTGTAATAATGTGTAGTACATTACAAGTTACAAGAGACACGTATCAAAGTCATCACCAGGTATAATAATAATGACAAGTATATACTCTACTATATAATATACTGTCTACTAATACCGATTATGTATTTGGTAACAGAGCAAACAACACATATAATAATAATAATAATAATAATAAATACATACTTTGTATATCACTTATTCATGTCACATCATTCACACTTACTTACAATACACACAACACATTTATATAAATTAAAAATATTCTATTATACCATTTAACATTTTTAATTTTTTATTTAAATGACTTTACTGACCAGATATATATATATATATATATATATATATATATATATCAACTAATTCAGGTCCAATGAGTACGACTTTAAAAGAACAAAAAATAATAATAATAATTAAAGAAAATTATATAATAAACATTTTACGTAGAATAAATAATTTCAATACTTAATAATAAACTATTTTTCAACATTATTGTCGTCAAAAATATTGTTCATACACTATTTGTATTTGAGGCGTGATACTTAACATAAATATATTATTAAATATTTATATAAAATAATTAGGAGTTTAATTGACTTTGGAATATAATGAACAAAAGAAAAAAGAAATAATTAATAATAAAAATAAAAATCAATCTCTACAAGACACACAATTTCTTACTTTCTTTCTTTTGGATAAAAAGAGAGCCATGCTCGATAGACAATCGTCGACTAGGCGCAGTCATATTTGTTATTAAAGTCTATACATAAATTATTTAAATAATTGTCTCACTCAATTGCTTCTATTATCATTTTTTTTTTCTCTATAAATAAATACGCGGTCAATTGTTCCCAACGCAGACTTGTATTGTTTATTACAGAAGCAGCAACATTATCCTGTTTAGTGTTTAATTACTATTTACATACAACATATATACTTAATAATAATCTAACAAAAAAAAGAAAAAAGAAAAAAAACACATCTGCATAATACACCTCAAGTGTTTCTTTTTTCTTATTTTTTTTTTTTAATTGTACAATTATTATTATTTATTTATAATTTCAACAGCTGACTAATTGGCAATTCCAATAATACTATTTTTCAAGCAGTAGGATACGCAATAATATATATATATATATATTAAACATCGATGACACACGAAATTATTGATATTATTATTATTATTGTTACTATAGTTTTTTTTTTTTTTTTTTTTTTTTTTTTTTTTATATCGTTTAACTATCGACACAGATAGAGAGAATATTTAATGGCAGTAGATTTTTAAAATAAATAATAGAATTAAGCTCCGGAAAAACCATAAACTTCTAGTACTCGAATTTCAAAATCACCACTGGCGCAGAGAGGCGGATTGTTGAATGTCGAGCAGTGATCTGTTTTTCCGTATCTTATGTTCTCGTCCATCCAAATTGCTTGTCCATCACTGAAAATTTTTTTTAAATATTTTATTTTAATTTATTTTTATTAATTTAATAATTTAAAAAAACTTACCCGCCACCGATAGTTATCATTTTAGAGTCAGCAGCCATAAAAAGTTCAGCCGAATGATGAACTTTTATGTCATTGTGCGTAGAATCCATTCCAACCCACGGATATTTAGCACGCTCTGGATATAAACTGAATAAAAATGTTTCTCCAGTACCAAAGTACGCTTGTCTGTGTCCCTTGTCGTCTTTCATATTTCTTTCACACCATCTCGTCGAACAATATGCACCAAACACCTTAAAAAAAACAACAACAATAATTATTTATTTTCAGTATATAATAATTAAAATTGGCTGCAATAACTCACCTCATTATTACAAGTTTTAATCATTAGCAAAGTAGGCTCGTGTTGTTCAACTCGTAAATAAAATGTCGTTAAAGAACATCCGTGTTCCTCGGTGGTGTACAATAGAGTAGGCTGGTACATTGTTATCCTCACGGGCAACCACGACCACAGTGTAAATAACTATTAAAAGAAAGAAGAAAATAATTAAATAACAAAATTTTAAATTAATTTCTCGTCATGCATCCACAATTTTAAATTTCAACTAAAATATTCAATTTAAATAAATAAATACATGCTCAAACATAAATTACTTCATGCAGTCATTTTATTTTTTTATTTTTTTTTTTTTCTTATTAATAAATAAAAAATAAGAATATGAATGCATGAAGAAGCAGCAATTCAATACAATACTTAATGAAATAAATAAATTAAATGAATAAAAGATGATTGACCACCATCCTCGTAATAATAATTAAAATAAATAAATTTAATAATATCTGGAATAAATAAAATAATTAAATAAATAAATAAATAAAATGAATTTCAATAACTCATCAGTAGTTGCAGCCAGACACCTAATGGACGACGACAATATATATATATATATATATATATATATATGACACTCTGCTACTTGTTTATTTTTTTTTTTTTTTACTTTTTTAATTTTATTATCTTGTTGTTTTTTACGACGACATATATATATATATATATATATATATATATGACACTCTGCTACTTGTATTTTTTTTTTTTTTTTTTTTTTTTTTCAACTTCAAGTACTTACATTTTCATCTTCTTCAATGACTAGCGACTTTATTCCCTGTATAGGGTAAGCTCCCATTGCATACGATCGCGGTTCCGGACTATGTGAACCCTTATTATTTTTATTTATTTTGTTATAAATAGTCATTAGAGTGACATTTTATTAATCCATTGCAGCCAAACACACACAATATTATTTTTATGATTAAAAAAAAAAAAAAATTATTATATTAACAATTATTAAAAAGATAAAATGTTTATAATGGCAGGTTAATCTTTCTGAGATTCTTGAAATTTCAGAGAATCGCGAGGATGAGGTCTTGTGTGTGTGTGTGTGTGTGTGTGTGTGTAGTATATTTAAAAAAAGCTCACGCGACAGTAATTTATATAATAAACGCGATTAATAATAAATAATTATTAGGTAGGTATGTAAAAAAAGGTGATAAACAGAGTAGTTTTAGATCATCACAATGGCAAAAGATAGCACATGAAAATAAACGACACATTTGCCAAAAAGATAATTATACAATACCCTGTCTTTGAATGTTTCTTCACACTCTTTCTGAAAACAAATTATCATCAGCAATAATTCAAAGAAACAAATGAAGAATAAAAAAAAAATAAAAAATGAATTGTGTTATAAGTAACTGATTGACAGAGAATATAAGAAAAAAATTTAATTAACGCCGATAGCAACCCATAGATAATAAATTTAAATAAAATACCGAGCAAGTGTTTTAGGGATTTTTAGTAATTATAAATATATCCTCATTGTTGTTGTTATTATAATCTAATATATGATTAACATTGCCAATTTAAAAATATATTATTATTATTAAATAAAATATGTTGTTTATTTGGTATAGTAGTTATTTTTAAGTATATTACCTCTCTAATAGTGAGTGTGTGTGACATCATCTGTATGTTGACTTGAGATTGACTTGTTGGTAAATTGTCCGATGATCTTGATCGTGCTAGTGATCGTGAGCCTGTTAATACAGTCCTGCTCTTTAATGTTAATTCTGTACGTAAAAATACTTTTGATATGTAAGCCGATGTCAATCCGCGAATTCCAAATGCTATTCTTAATAATTTTGCCGGGCTTACCTATCAACAAACAAACAAACAAACAAAACAATCAATATTTTTATTTTGTTATAAATTATTATTATTATTATTATTATATTTACCGGTATTTGTCGGCAAAATTTTGATAATGCTGTATCTAAACCGTGTTTAACTATTTCTTGCATCCATTCAGACGACTGTGATGATGAATGTTTGTAAAATAACAACAATATAGCCATAGCAATTCGATAAAATACCTGACAAAAAAAAAAATATCATTAAAATACTGATTGAAATTTAATTTTTTATAAATAATTTACTACCTTGGAACCTTCGTGTAAAAAACAATCCATCACTCTGACAATATGCTGAAAGGGAAGCAATTGAAGGATCCACCAAATCCAGTCTGAATAAATTCTATCGCCTCTCATACCACTGTGTCTTGATAAATGCGCCGCTGCTGATTTCTTTAAAAATTAAAAAATTAAATTATTTTAATAAGTATTAAACAATTATAATTATAATTATAATAAAAACTTACAACATATTTTTTGGCTATTTGTTCGACAGTTTTCCACGTAACTTCAAATAATAATTTAGTTTGGGTAACAAATACTTTGTCCTTGCAAGCAACCAAGCTTGCCATGCAGTGATAGCAGTCTTCCTCAGTCATAAAGTGCAACAGTAGGGCCGTGAATGGATAAAGCGTCGGACTGTAAGTTATATCCGGGCATGAGAATCCCAGAACAGAGACTACGCGGTCTGCAATATTTCTACCCTTTCCGGTTAAATTGTAGGACAAACAATGGCTACTGTCGACAAACGACGGTAACACTATTGACTTTTCCGACAGTTCTGAAACAATTATTCAATTATTAATAGAGGAAAAATCCTTTAAAAGAGTCAAATGACTTATAAAAGCAAATAGCAAATAAAAAAAAAAAAAAAATGAAGCCGCCTTACTTTCTTCGATTAATTGTACTATTTGGGAAGGAGTAGGATTGGCGGGAAAAGCAATTGCTCCCCCAGATAGGCTACTAACAACACTATCCCGATAATGATTGTTATCGTTATCATTCTTACCAACAGTACCGAACAATGAGGTAACCATGGCCCAATAAAAGCCATCTTCAGCTTTAGTAAAAATATTTTTAGCTGAAGTGTGTTGCTGACAGAGCGCCGGCCACAAGTGGGCTCTGATTCCATTATTAAGCGGCCAAGCGTTCTCCCTTAATATTATTTTTACTTCACGTTTCCTGTTTGCCTGAATCAGGGTATTTACTTCATTAAATGTCTTTAGAGTTTGCTTCTTGCTAGACGGCGACTCGGGATTTATAACAATATTTGTTGCGTCAACGTGCGGTGGAAATGGCTCGTCGGTTGTTGTTAATGTAGTTGTTGTTAAATTTACAGAATCTTCTTCAATAATTGACATATTTACTGATGGTGCTCCTGCCAAAGATGAACAATTACTTGAACTATTTGTTGTTGTTATCATAGCAATACATTAACGTAGGTTGTAATATATTTATGTGTTGGTTGGTTGGTTGGTTGATGCTGATAACTACGGTGGCATCGGACCCCCGTCCATTATTCGAATGATCAACTTATTTATCATCACCACTTTATGTCAGGTCTACAGTTGTTACTATTTTCATCTGAAATAAATAATTATTAAATAATTATTTTTAATCCAACATGAATTATAATTCCTTATAAATAATTTCATCACTAAATCTGAGGTAATAAAAAAAAAATATTTATCAGAGTTATTCTTGATGTTTTGAATCTTGAGTACAAATCACTCAAGTATTGCCACACGGTAAAATAATTTAATGCATCTCGTTTAAAGCTCAAAGAACAACCTATGGAATAAAATGTTAAAATTAGTAACATGCGCTTCTTCATCATCATCTTTCTTGTTTCTCATTCTTAACACACATCATCATCATCATCATCATTATAATGATAATGATTGTAACACAGAACGTCTCGATTAAAATTTATTCCAAGTACATCCTTGCTCTAACTCTTATCATCCTGTATAATAATTTTTTTATAAATAATATTTAGTTAGTAGCGGCTAAAAGTTTAAATGTTTCCATTATTAGAGCCGAAAAATATAAATGTGTGCGTGTATTTAATGGCAACTATCCAAATCACATGACATTATACATGAACCAAATGCCAACAAAATATATTATTCCTTTTTTTTATTAATAATAAATTGAATATTTTAAAATATATAATTAAAAGAGATTATGGTAATAATATTAATATACAAGTTGTTGACTCGAGGTATTATTATAATTATAAATATAATAATAGAAAAGTAAAAGTAAACAATAATGGGGAAAAAAAAAAAAAAAAAAAAAAAAAAAAAAAAAAAACGAATTTTGTTATTATCAGTATTTATAGATGGAATAAAATAGAAAAAATTAATTTTATTGCTTAGGTGTGTATGAATAATGCGTGTGATGGTGACATTGCCATTTGCCATTTGCCATTAATGCGGATGAAATCGTGGTTTCGAATTAACGAGGTAAAATTGAAAGGGCGGAGTCTGTGTGCCAAGCTAAGGGGTACCAGAGATAACTAGAGCTTTTGCGACCTCGCTGCTTTTTTAATCTATTATATAAATCAAATTATTATTAATATTAATATTTTTATTATTACTATTATTATTTAAAATAAATTAATTAATTACCGCCAAATTTTAATCAGCATAAGTCCACAGGAAATTTATTTTAATAAATTATGTCCGCTTGAGTTTAGAAACATCGGAACAACAACCTGGAGCAGAATAATAAATTTTATAAGTTGGTTATTTATTAGTTTTATTAGGAGCGATCCTCACTATCACTTTACTGATAATACACTTGACAATCTCACTGTACCAATTATTATTATTATTATTATTATTATTATTATTATTGTTATTGTTATGATGGATAAATTTTTTTTAATAAATAAAAAAAAAAAAAATAAAGATTATATATTACACCTAAAAAGCAAACAACACCATACCACCAGGAGGAAGGAGCACTAACACCAATATATATATATATATATATATATATATAACAACAGTGTGTCGAGTGTTAATTGTATTGAATTATTGCAGTACAAGAGTTGTCAATTACTATTCAGGTGTGTGTACGTGTGCAGTAACAACTAAAGATTCATACATTTATCTTTTATTATTATTATTAAAAAGAGCACTGATTTTCTGATGGTTGAAAAATTTATTTACACGAGAGAGTAAGTAAAGTAAGCAGTGATGCTCGTGATTGGTGATGTCAGAATGGATCGGAGAACACACTGAGAGTAAAAACTAAAACTAAACATTTATATTTTAATCTCGGTTGTTTTATTATTTTTATTTTTTTATTACCGTTTCAATACTTTAATACTTACTCTCTGTTAGTCTGTTACACTTGTGGTTCAGCAGTTCTCCTCAGTTTTGCTGGTTACTTATTCTTATTATTATTATTATTTAGCTAACACAAACCCTCGTCTTACTTTTTATTATTTTATTTTTTTCATTCTTATTACTCTATATACTTGAATGTTCTTCTCTTCTTCCTTCTGTACTCCCTGTATACTTTGTATACTCTTTACTCTGTATATATTTACAACACACATTTATAACATTAATACACCACTATTCTCAATATGTACCTTTATGTACCGCACTTGTCGTTGTTGTAATTGTGTAAGGGGTTAAAATTATTGCCGTGCAACAGAGACACCAGCATAATATTATCAAGGTACACAATAGAGACAGTCCCTATTTATATTGACTACAGTTTATATACATTTTCTCCTCTAATGCTAATCTGTATATATATATATATATTAACAAAAAAATAAAATCAATTTTTGTTACACACTTGGACCACAGCGACATCTGCCAAATTTAAACACTGGTAACTTACCGACCCTGTTTCCCGCCTTTGTCAATTATTTAAAAAAAAAAAATATCATTTTTATTAATTTTTAAAAATCACCATTTTTAATTATCTTATTATTCTTATAATTAAAATAAAGTTCTACCTTTTTTTTTTTTTTTATCAATTAAACATGTTGAATCATAGATAAAAAAACAAATTAAAATAATTTATTTACATAATAGAAAAAATTTCATAGTTTTTTAATTTTGTTTCAGATAACAGTAAATTTAATATAATTGAAATCAGCTGATGTTCAACCGCATTTTGTTGTTTTATTATAAAAATATAAAAATAATTTATCATTTTTATAATAAAAATAATGCACGACGAAGCTTACTATGAGCGTCGTGTGCCCATAAGAGACTTGGGTCCATGGAAAAATTTTTTGCGGTTTCTCTGGGACAGAGAGAGACACGCGGTTTTCGACCGTACATTAAAACAATGGGGTGAGTAGTCTATAAATTGTTTGTTTTTAATATTGTAGGTTATTTATTAAAATAATATATATATATATATATATTTTTTAGGTCAACTAGGATTATTTTATTTATGTTTTTACGGTTTGTTATTCACACTATTTGGCCTGCATATGCGGATCGGGTTTAAAAATATCCCAAAAGATCGACCGTACATGGAGCATCCGTCACCTGGTAAATTCATCACCGGATCAAGAATTTTGTTTCATCAGCCTCTCAACCGCGACTCACACTCTGGACATCCCGGTATTATACTCATATTAATTTATAATAATTAATTTTTTCATTATTCATTTAATGTTATTATAATAATATTAGGTCTTGGGTTTGTACCAAATATTCACGCGTATTCATCACTCGCACCAGTTATTTGGATCAACAAAAATAATCCTCAATCACACCCTCAACGATACATTGATACAATTTATAATTTTTTTAGTTACTATCGCAATAGTTCTGTTTATAATTACAATTGCGATACAAAAAAAAAACCCTGTTTCTTTGACATAAACTCACTGGGAAAATGCTCGACATCACCTTACGGATACTCGGAGCCTTATAAACCTTGTGTTTATATTAAATTCAATAGGGTATATATATATATATATATGTGTTAATAAAAATTATACTAGATTTTTTTATTACTTGAAAATTATTTTCAGAGATTTGGATGGACACCTATTTATTACAATGCAACATCGGAATTACCGGAATACATGCCTTGGAAATTAAAAAGTGTCATTAAATCGACCCATCAGGTAAATAATATAATTAATTGCGACGACACTTAACGATGATGATGATGATAATTATAATTGTATTGTTAGGCACATATTTGGATTTCTTGCTCAGGCGTCACTAATTTTGACAATCAACACATGGGTAATATTGATTATCTTCCACTTGCTGGATTACCTGTCAAATATTTTCCCTTTACCGGTCATCCAAATTATTTGTCGCCAACAGTAGCGTTGCTCTTTAATAATATAACAGGTAATAATTTTGTAGAAATAATTATTATTGCTTTATTATATATGATTATTGATATTTAATTTGTTTATTTTAGCTAACAGATTGATAACGATAAAATGTTATCCGTGGGCTTACAATATAGATCAGGATAATCCATTGTACTTTCAATTGCTGATTGAATAACCAATTTCAAGTAAGTAAGTATGTTTGTTTTAATTTAATAAATAATGAATATTTGCAAAGAAGATAATCACGTGGTGTGTCTTGTTGATAATAATATTCTTATATTGGAATTGAATGTGTTGAATCGAGGACTGAGGATTATGTGGCTGGTGGGGAAGGGACAGACTAAAATAAAGGTAGAGTAGAGAGTGTGTAGCAATGAATAAGATTGTAGTAAGTAACAGCTAACAGCAACAGTTCAACAGTTGTGAGTTGTTAGTTGTTAGTTAGTTGTTGATGTGAGTAGGCAGTCTACTGATTCAAACACGCGGGGATATACTTAATCATTTTTTTTCTTTTATTTTTTTTACTACTTAAATTATTATTCTTGTTAATTATTTATTATTAATTATTAATTGCTGTTGTTGGAAAAAATGAGTGAGAAAATCGGTAGACAGTACGAGGATGATTATATGCGAATTCCGGTTTTTAAAAGCAAAATAAAAGCTTTTAGTGATTTTTTTTACAATCCAAATGAGAAAACTGTCTTGGGAAAAACTAAAAAGCAATGGGGTAATTACGAAATAGTCATCGTTATTTTTAAATTTACATTTCAAATATTATATTATCTTTCGTTCTACTTTTCATATATATTTTCTTCGTGTGTGTTTATTAGATAGTAAAAATTTTATCGACAAAAGAATAATCTAACGCTTAATAGATATTTTTTTTTTATTAAATTACAGTTTTTTTTTTTTTTCTACTTTCTAAATTTTAAATCATTGTAAGAAACGAAATAGAAGATTTTCTATCAAATAAAGAATTTTTTTTTTTTTTTTTTTTTTTTAATTTTTTTATTTATTTATTTACTCGTGATAAAACTTTACGATCTCACAAGATAAGCTCTAAATAGTTTTTTTTTTCTTCTTTTATTAGGTGTCTTGTCATGCGTGTTGTATAATGTAATTAAAAATGACAAGGATACTCTTTTGTGTTTTTTTTTTTTTTCTATTTACCAGAAAATAATAATAATTAACATGTATGTAAAGTATTACACTTGGGAATTATCAGTTTCAGCATAAATGACAGTAAACATTTTTTAAATATAATTATTATTTATACGGAGCACGTGATTTTAGTATTTTCGTATTTTAGTATTTATTTATAGTTTTTAATATTGGAAGATTGCCAATTGTTGAGTAATATTTTTTTTTTTTTATTATGTTTTAGGTGTTACGGGTCTTTTTTATTTGGTTTTCTTCTCTGGATTGATTGTATTATTTTCAATATGCATGGTCGGATTAATGGCTACAATACAAAAGGACAAACCTAGATGGACGCTAGATCAAAGTTTGATTGGATCGAGTCCAGGATTGGGATTCAGACCGATATCCGATAATCCGCACGAGCTGGCGTTAATTTTTTACAAAAACAACAATGAAACTCAAATAAAAACGTGGACTCGTCGACTTGATGATTATCTTGAACGTAAATTTTTTTTATAATTATATATTATAAATGTTTTATTTTTTTTTAATAATTTTAATAAATTTTCTTTTAAAAATAGATTACAGAAATCGTACCATGTTGCCGAACCGCCAAAGGTGCGACTATAAATTTCCAAAGCCAAAAGAGGGTAATGTATGCGCTGTTGATCTCGATACTGATTTTGGAATTTGTTCACCGAGTAATCAATACGGATTCAATAATTCTTCCCCTTGTGTTTTCATTAAATTAAATAAGGTTAATTTTTATATTAATTTTTTTTTTATATAATTCATTTAGTAATAAGTTAATGTTAAATTTATTTTAGATATTTGACTGGGTACCGGAATATTATCAACTGTCGGAGTTACCGAGTGATATGCCAAAAAAATTGGTCAATCATATTAAATCATACGGTAATTCGTCGGAATTAAACACTGTGTGGGTTAGTTGTCAGGGTGAAGAGGCTGAAGATAGAGAATCTCTTGGACCGATTCAATATTTTCCGAAAATACAAGGGTTCCCTGGATATTACTATCCCTATAAAAATATCAACGGATATTTAAGTCCTCTGGTGGCTGTAAATTTCGAAAGACCTACCAGTAAGTATTTATATTTATATTTAAAAAGATTAATTATTAATTTTAATTATTTTTTCTTCTAGGAAATAAAATAATAAACGTAGAGTGTCGTGCATGGGCCAAAAATATTATATTCCACCAGCGACAAAAAATTGGTATGGTTCATTTTGAATTACGTATTGATGATTAATTGCTATTAAGTTTATTTTAATGATTTACGGATATCAGGGATTTATTTGTGAATAAAATTTATGTACTTACATATTTAATATTAATTCAATTTATATGGATATATTATTTATAAATTTGTTCAATATAATATAGTACACGCATATAAATATATTTTAAAAATATAATTATAATTTCATGAAAATAAATTTGCCATAATTGTTAATTAATTTATAAAATTATTTATATATATATATATATACTACAATTATTAAAAATATCAGATCATCGAGATTCCATTTGTTTTATAAATATTAATTTTGGATATGTATAAAGCGATAATAATGATTAGTGAAGAATTGTGATGGTGCATCTGAGATTCATTTTTTTTTTTTAAATATAAATACTTATTAAATTAATATTTAATCAATTAAAAGTTCAAAGTGAACTGATCCAATTTTATCATTTCGATTGTGTTTTATATTCTTTGCCCAAGCTCTGCACTCGACATTTATAAGAATTCCAGCTGTAAAATAAAATAAAACAAAATTATAAATAAAAACAATGAAATAAAATAATTAATAAATAAAGTCGGAATAATAATTACTCTTTGGCCTTTCAAAATGAACGGCAACCAATGGACTGAGGTATCCCACAGTATTTTCATAAGGATAATAATATCCAGGAAATCCTTGCTGAGGAATGTATTTAACTGGTCCAATATTTTCTTCGTCTGCTGGATTTTCTCCACCACAAGACACCCAAATGGTATTTAATTGTTTAGCTTGACGTGCAGTCAAGTTACCGATCAAAGTTTTCAAATCTCTGGGCATTTTATCCGGTAATTCTTGGACATCGGTATAATACTCTGGTTTCCATCCGTAAATCTATTAATCAATTAAAATGTTAGTAATACGAGTTACGAGGAGGAAAAACCTTGGATACTTTAATCAGTATTACCTTGTTGAGCTTTATGAAGACACAAGGTCCAGATTTGTGATATCCAAAGTAATTTTCTTGGGTGCAAGGCTCCCATTGTCGGACATTGACAGCACACACTTGATCAGGACTTGGGAATTTGTGATAATCACACTCTGTGATACTAGCACCTCGACCTGCTGTCGATCCCAACTTTTTGTAATCTAAAATTTAAATTATTTTATACTAAGATATAACGTTAATTTTAAATTATATATTAAAAAAAAAAAAAAAAAAAAAACCTTCAAGAAAATCAGACAATTGATTAACCCAGTGCTTGTAATTTTCAGGATCAGTTCCTTTAAACCAAATTAAAGTACTCTCAACATTTGAAGGCGGTGGCATTGGCCTGAATCCTAATCCTAAAATTTAATTAAAAAAAAAAAAACTATTATTAACAAATTTTAATTAAAATTAAATTAAAAATAGTTATTTTAAATACCTGGATTTGTTCCGATGATAGATCGATCCAATTGCCACTTTGGTATTCTGACATCAAGAGTTTGGAAGAAGAACCAAAAGCAAATGGAAACCAATGCAGCCAATACTCCGTAGAATATCAAATAAAATATTCCAACTTTTCCTAAAATAACAATAAAAGTTTATCACTTTTGTGGTGATTTAAAAATAAAAGGATTAACAATCAGTATATGATGCCCTCCAGTACAATTGGAGCAATTCAATTACATCAACGTACGGTGATTATTCAATGTTGTGTCAAGGTTACCATATCAACATCCTACTTGGTAATTTTAAAACCAGGAAAATATTATATTACTCGATAGCTTATCTTACAAGTAATTAATACAATAATAATGCTAATTATTATTAAATAATTTATTATTTTAAACTGTAAAAAAGACCATAACGACCAAAGGTAATGCCATTAAAAATATTTATATTAATTTATTAAGTATTAGATATATCTTTAAATAATAATAATATTGTATTAATGAATTTTAAACAAAAGAGTGCCCTTCAAAATATATAATTTACCTTAACGTAATCCAACCATTTAATGTCAATTGACCTCGTTACAGACATTTACGGTAAGGGAAGTTGAACAATTGTCCCGTATATACATAATAATCATTATTTAACAATATTACCATATTTTTTTTTTTTTTTTTTTTTTTTTGTACATTACTAGTGACATTATAATGAAAATAATGTTGTGTAAAGAATCCGTAGTAGTAAAAAAAAAATAGCATTAGTATTTTATAAAATACTTTCCGAATGATTCATACTATCATACTATCAGCAGGTTAATTAGTTATTTTAAATAATATATAATATAATTTTTTACCCCAACTGCTGGCTGTTCTTCCCATAACTGCTCCAGTTTCTTTGTTGTAAAAAAAGTTTTTAACAGACTGACTTGTTGATATTTCAGGTGGTTTTTCGTACGGATTCATCGACTCCACCTTGGCTCCTAGATCTTTTTTACTGTCCTTAGCCACCATTTTATCCTTAAACAACAACAACAACAACAACAACAACAACAACAATATTAACTAAATAAATAAATAGAAGAAATGATTTAAAAAGTAAATTCTTTATACTACTCACTTCGGGTTATCTGTCTCGTGGTCTAGTAGAGAATAGAATAAGAGATTCCTGGTTGCTCGTAGAATGAACAACAATTTGAGTTAGCGTCCGTTTTCAAGCAACATTCATCACCATCACCACGTAGTAGAGGTAGTAGAGGTAACTATTATTGTTCCCCCTCCAACGTTATTCTCTTCTCCCTCTTTTATTCGTAAGGCTAACGCCCTTTTTCTCTCTCTTTATTTCCTTTTAACTTTATGTTCATTCCCTCTTACTTACTCTTTTTTCATTTTAATATATCTATACAAACTATACATTTGCTTAATACTATCCTATAATCCATACTGAATTACGGATCCACACCCGGTACGGGGTATATACAAAGCTTGACACTACGCTTTATATCAACAAAGATCATCATATTAATTTCAGATTATTTATTTATTCAGTTTAATTCGTATAACAAATGTCAGGAAAAAAAAAAAAAAAAAAAAAAAAAAAGTTATTATCAATATAGGTAAACAAATTTTTTTAAAATTAATGCAATGAAAAAAATAAATAATCTCGATTTTTTATTTCAGTCGGTGTGTTTTCCAAAATATTTTTTCTTCACCCCTCGTATGAAAATTAATTTCTTCTTTGTTGAACTTTTTTTAAAAAAATAATTTAGAGACATTTTAAGAAAAAATCTAATTACAATCTGAATAAAACTGGTTAACACTTGTAAGTATATATACATGCCCAATTATAATATATAATATATATTGTGAGTCACACACTACACAAAATGCAGTAGTCTTTATATTTACCAATTGACAACTTCCTGCCTAGTGTGTTACTACTTTATCACAATCCAACCCGAGATTTATAAAATTATTAGGTAAAAAAAAAAAAAAATAAGTAAAAGCACCAATGATAATTATTATTTTTGTTAAATTTATTAAATTTCATAAAATCACCAATTAGTCACATTTGTTTTGATTTTATTACCGCAATTAATATTTTTTTTTTTTATAAATAATATTTCCAATTACATATTATTAACAATAAAGTTAAAAATTTTCTTTTAAATAATTATATTGATAACAGTTATTTTAAATTTTTTAATTTTTAGCATCAACTGCATTTCTATATTTTATACAATACTTTTTTTTTTATTATTATTATTATTATTATTATTATTATTAATATTAATATTATAATTATATCAAGAGGCATTAAATGCACGCATTATTTATTACAATAAAATAACACATATTAAGCGGCATTTAATAATAATCACACCTCTGTAACTACTTAAACATTAATTTAATCTAAATAATATATTCAAAAACACAAGTACGAATTTAAAACTAATTATTAATTATTAATTATCATTATAATTATTATTATTTTTTTGACTAGTGAAATTTTTTCACATTTTATTCCTAAGTTGGTACATTGCGCAAATAATTTCGAATATTAATTAATAAAGTACGCAGATTAGATTATAAAAGCGTGATGAATCATCAGCAATTACATTTAGAATTTTTATTTATTTTTTTATCATTTTTTTTTTCCAACTCGTCTAATTCTCTATAGACAAACGTATATTATTATTATTAATATCAATGTTATTATTATTACTATATATACTGTTTAATTTCTCTAACAGATAGTGAGATGCTAATTAAATTAAGTACAAAAAAATTAAATAAAATCTTGACATTAAACAATTAATCAATCATTATCTTTCTCGATGACAAAACAATCATTTTGTGCATTATTATTTTTATTAAAATTATATCGATAAATAAAAAATAATAATGATAATTATTGACGTGGTAACACGGCAGTGAAGATAAAAACACAATCACCACACAATTTAAATTTTTTTTTCTTTTCCCTTAAGAAAGAAAATGATTGAATAAAAATAATAACAAAAGCATTAAGTAGACTTTTTTTTTTTTGGTTTTTTTTTACTTTTTTTTTTTTAAATTGCTGTGTGGTGACTTAGCAATCACTCAGATTAATTAATAAATATATTTAATCAATCATGAGCTCAAAGTGGACGGAGCCACGTCGATCTACCCTATCGTGAATAATGTTTCGAGCCCATGCTTTGCACTCAATGTTGATAAGTACGTTACCTACAAATTCAAAAAAAAAAAAAAAAAAAAAAAACAAACAAACATTTTGAATTAAACCAACAAAAAGAAACAACAAGACTATTGATAAAAAATGAACAAACTTACGTTTGGGAGATTCAAACCACACTGCGACAAGTGGACTGAGGTATCCCGGTGAATTTGTGTACGGGAAATAAAATCCAGGGAATCCAGAGCGCGGCTTGTATTGAATAGGTCCAATGTTTTCAATATCTGCAGGGTTTTCGCCCTCGCACGACACCCAGATGGTCTGCAACTCCTCGGGGTTTCGCATCTTGGCTCCTTTGATCCGGGCCTTCAGGTCGTTTGGCATGTTTGCTGGAAGGTTTTCCGTGTCGTTGTAAAACTGTGGTTGCCATCCAAAGATCTAAAAAAAAAAAAAAAAAATAATTTTTATTAATAAAATGTTGATTATATTATTATTAAAAATTAATTTAAACACTTGCCTTGTTTAATTTTAAGAATATACAGGGCTGGTAGTCGGGGTACATGTACTGCTTGGGTCCAGTGCACGGAGAAAACTTTTCTAGGTCAACCTCGCAGGCTTTTCCAGGCGCTGGAGGTTTACCGTAATCACAGTGCATACGGTTTTCAATTACTTGCTGGATGGCCGGTGATGCCATGCTTCCTGGTTTAGGTGGTTGGTATTCTAAAATGATGAAAATTAAGTTAGCCGACATGTCAAAATTTATAGAAAATTTTTATTGATAAAATTTCAATTAAATAATTAAAAAAAAAAAAATTGTCACATGTAAAAAACTTGAAAATATCTTTTTATTAGTTGTAATTTAATTAATAAAAAAAATTAAAAAATTTTTAGACGGCTGCTAACTTTAGTGTCATTCTAAAATGATAATATATATAATAATAATATTAATTAATATTATTAACCTTCTAAAAATTTGTCAATAGCGTTGCTCCAGTTTTCGTAATTTCCTTTGTTGCTTGCTTTGTACCAAATAAGAGTACTCTCAACATTGCTGACAGGGGGCATCGGTCGGAAACCAAGTCCAGGATTGTCACCAATCAAAGATTTGTCCATCTGCCATTTGGGTGCTTTGTGGTCGAGAGTTTGATAAAACACTGCCAACATTGCTCCGAAGAATCCAGTCAGCACTCCATAGAATATTACATAAAAGAGCAATATCTTTGCTGCAACAACAACAACAACAACAACAACAATAATAAACAATTTAATAGAGTTTAATTGTTTGAATTGACAAATATAGCATTTAAAGATCAGACGAGTCAATCAACGTCTAGTGGGTCTAATAGTTTCGCTAAATGACCCAGTTATCATCAATTGATTAATAAATATTTAAATTAACACATTATTAATTATTAATTATCGCGTTCTATTTGTATTATTAACGATAAATTGCGTAACGATCGGTTAAGCTTTAAAGGTAATATTATATAAATTAATTTAGCCTTTTAAATGTTTCTCGATATATATATATATATATATATATTTCAATGAGAGGGCGGTGGTACTAATGGGGGGTACTATCGATCCCTTGTTATTATATATGTATATACTCTTTTTTTTTCTTTTTCTTTTTATTTGTTAAAAATTTTAAAATATTTTATTTTTATTTAAGATTTAAAATAAAATAAAATAAAATAAAAAGTATGTTTAAAATCAACCCTTAGTAGTTCTTGTATCGATCCTCGGGTTATTGATTTAAGAACGAGTCTTTTTGTCTGGTACGTTTAACGTCATCTAACATTATTAAACCCCAATAAATAAATAAAATTAAACTGACAATTGTTTATGTAACTATTGTTAGAGTTTGTAAATTTATATAAGAGGGATGATGATGATGATGATGATGATGATGATGTGTTTAAAGAAAACGCCCGAGTATTGACCGTTGCCGAGGAGATTATCGATTAGACTATTGCGGACAAAGAATAATTATTTAAAATAAAATTAAGGCTGGTAACTCACCCCAACTTGATCCTGTTCGTCCAAGAAATTGTCCTGTTTCAGAATTCCACAGGAAGGTACTAAATGCCTCCCATTTACCAAGTTTAGGCGGTGGTGTGTAGTACTGATCAACTTTCGATTTGTCTTCCATCGTTTATTATTTTATTAAAGTATTATTAATTATTTAAAACACTTTTTAAATTTATTTAAATAAAAAAATTGTCGCAGCGACTAAGAAAGACGCAGTTAACTATAACTGGAGAGATGGTGAATCTGGTGGTAGCTGGTTGCTGCTCGCTGCTCGCTGCTACTGGACGAAAAGACCAGGGGGATGAATATTGAGCGATCTCTCGGTAGACCCCAGTCCCAGTTTTTCCATCGGGGAGGAAAACGCGCAATCGCAGTCTACTAGGTACAGGCAAATACAATATCACAGACATCGATATGATTGTCAGTTTCAATAATCCTCCTACTGCGCACGAGTAACAAACCTTATTTAACTATTTACTTATCATTACATATGTACTACTTATCATTATATATATATATTTTTTTTTTTTTCATACACAAGACCCATGGCTTCAATTAAAAATATATATCGTTTTGTTACAGGATATTTTTAGAAAAATACCGTCTCCCTATTTTTAGAAAATAAAAAATTAAAAAAAAAAAAAAAAAAAAAAAAAAAAACCAGATGGTGGAAGATTAAATAAAAATATTAACAGACGTTAAATGTGTGCTTTTTAATAAATATTTTATTACACAAGATTAAAATATTTTGTAAATTTCAAATCCGCACAGATAACAGAGTCTACAATGGTTTAGTTTAGTTTACTATTTAATTTTTTTTTTTAATATATTGCAAATATATTTGTCTCGTTAATTTATTTATTTACATACAACTATACATTGTTATGTTGTATATGATTTTTCTTAGATTTCTGTACACACTGCTGGATATTTTTTTATACACGTCAATTATTTTTTTACATACCCGCGATTAAAAAAAAAAAAAAACATGGTTTTTTAAAATTGCACCAGTTGATGATAATAATAATAATTATAGAAAAAAAAAAAAAAAGCACCTGATTATAGCGGGTTGTTGAAATGCAATCGATCGAGAAAAAAAAAAAAAAAAAAAAATGATAAAAAAAAATTTGTACAAAATTTAAAATGTGAGATCTCAAAAACCGATTTTTAAAAATATACATATTTAATTACTTTCAGTGAGAAAAAAAAATAAACAAGTTAAAGTCACTCGGCCAAAATTTTTTTTTAATTTGTTGCATTATAAAACTAAAGCACGCGTAACACTGATAATAAACAATAATTGATAATATTTAATGACAATAATAATATTGATAATAATAATAATGCAGGTTAAGATAAAATTTTCAAGTCCAGAAATTAAATACTAGACTGTTAGTATGATAAATAGAAATAATGAGCAATATTTATGCCGTTTATACTTTTTACAAGATTCTTTATCTTTTATCTTTTTTTTTTTTTTTTTTTTTTTTTTTTTTTTTTTTTATTTTATTTATTTAGTCTATGTTTTTTTTTTTTTTTTTTTTTTTTTTTTTTTTTTATTTATTTATTTAGTCTATGCTACTATCACTATTATTTTTCGTGTTTTTTTAGACTTTTCAGTTTTTTTTTTTGTTTTTCTTTTTTTTTTAATTTACACGTCATTAGTAGCTGATATATAATACAAATTAATTGGCAGGTTTTGAGATACTGTTAACTCTTAAAAATAAATATTATATTTATATATATTTAATTTATATCAACGATAGTCACACCGATGTCCTTAACACACGATGACCTAAATCTCACGGTTAATAAAATAAAATTAAATTATAAAAAAAAAAAAAAAAAAAAAAAAAAAAAAAGAAAATTTGGGCTTACCCCCAAACTTGTAATACACTCGTAACAATTAATATTATTATTATGAATATTAATATATATTTAATAATAATTATTATGAAAACGAGCTTGTTTGTCTGTTTATTCATCGCTGACGCTGGGACACTCTGGATTTGTTGGCTTGGGCATTTTGAAATCCAGTCGGTACTGAGCTGAAATAAAAATAAAAAATTAGAAATAAAGAATAAAGAATAAAAAATAAAAATAATTTTTTTTTTTTTTAAATTACCTCGCTTGGTAAGATCTTCCATAGTTTGTTCCTTGCAGTCGATTGCAAGATGATTGTTGCTACCACAATTGTAACATGAAATTTTGGGCTGATGAGGCTGCTGTTGGCCGTGATCATGATGCGAATGATGAGACTGCTGGGACTGATGATGACCAATGGGAAGACCTGGCATCAAACCTGTCACAATACCTGGTGGTGGCAGAGGCGGTGGAGGTGGTGGTGGCGTACCGGCTGGTTGTCCTGGATACTGATATATTATTTCACCATTTGACTGAAAGCCCTGTGGAGATACTGTTGGTTGGAATCCCGCTGGCGCCATTGACACCGTAGGTCTCGAGTAAATAGTATGAGAATAACCGCTCGAATAAATATTAGTACTGTTAAGCGGTAATCTTGGAGTTGTACCAGGAAAATGATTACCGTGTGGTAAAAACGTCATTTGTGGATGATGATTTCCCGTTGGAAATCCACCAGACATACCAGTCATACCCGATATACCAGACATACCAGGTATACCAGATATACCAGATATACCAGATATACCAGATATACCAGATATACCACAGTGTTGTTGTGGCGATGGTGCCGGCGTTGATAAATTTACCGACGATGCAGGTGGAATTGCTCCAGTTGATACTGAACAGGCATTTGAATTATTAGTTACGCCATTTATTATTTGATTTTTTTGTCTCATTGTTTGATTTTTTTTCATACTTCGTGTTCTGTCATTGTTGATTTGTTGCTGCTGCTGTTGCTGCTGCTGCTGCTGTTGCTGTTGCTGCTGCTGTTGCTGCTGTTGCTGCTGTTGCTGCTGCTGCTGCTGTGACTGGATTGAAGTTGAAGTATTTTGTCGGGATACTGCTACTGTAGAATAAGAGAGTACCGAAGAAGAACTGCTTGGTGATTGCTCAGATGAATTTGAACTCGCTGAAACTGTTGTTGTTGTCGTTGTTGTTGTTGTTGTTGATAGTGATATATTTTCATTTATAACTGTACTGTTGGCTATAAATGTTGAATTTCCCGGCCAAGGAACTGCTGGTGGTGTTCCTGGAGGTGACCTACTTCCAGTAGAACTATCTGAGCTGCTACTTTGTGAGCCATGACGACTACTGTCCGCATCTAATCTCAATGCTTGCAATTGGGCCACACAGTACATGTGTTGTGCATTACACCTACTTAAATATTAATTATTATTTTATATAAAAAAATTACTTTCATAAAATTATAATGACATACCTGGGATAACGATTTTGAACAGTTGAAGTAGCAGCAGCCGCTGCTGGTACTGTTAAACAAGCGTAGCAAGGATTTTGAGTGGCGTAAATTGAGGGTGGAGCTGAATGAAATAGAGATAGTTGCTGATTCGGGTCCATTGTCGGTGGAGGAGGCGGTGGTCCCGGTTGCATTGTCTGGTATCGTCTTATACTTGTTATATTTGCGAGATGACTGTGGTGATGATGATGATGGTGATGGTGGTGATGAATTGATTGATGAAAGTCTTGGAAAAATGGCAATCCTCCTGGCAATTTACTGTTGTAAAATTCATTAGATATTTGACCTTGTTGTTGGCGGGTTTGCTGTTGTTGCTGCTGCTGTGTCACCTGATGATATTAAAAAAATTTTATTATCATGTAAAATTATTAATTATTAACATTGAAAAAGAAATTAACCTCATCTGCTGTTTGGTCAGTTGTCAAAGAGAAGCTCTCAACTTTATTATTTTTTTGGTCGGCAATTATTTGATTACTCTGAGCCCCATTTGTCGAATTAGAACTTTGAGAACGCACAATGCTTCTCAGTTGACCTACTGCATTTGGTGTTAAACCTATTTCTCTCAGTTCCTCGTCACTTATCCTTCTTATCTAATTTTAATAACAAAAAAATATTAATTGTCATTCATAATTATAGATTTAAGAAAATTATTAATATAATTTTTTTTTTTTTTACCTCTTCCATTGAGTAATTTTGTAAACAAGCCTTGTAATTGGGCATTTCCTTGCCAAGAGTTTCACGAAGAGTATCATTATTGACTGTGGCAGATCCACCAGTACTTCCTGAAATTGAACTCGAGGGTGACTTTAACTTTGGAGGATTTTTAACCCCCGTACAAGTTGTAGAAATACCACCACCACCACCACCACCACCACCACCACCACCACCAGTTAAACTGTTGTGTCGTGAATATATGCCAGATGTTGGCGTTGTCGATTGAAGAGTACCTGAAGTAACAACAACAACAACAGATCTTGGAACGGATGTTTGATTGGGATTTACGTTAATATTTCTTCCAGCAGTAGACACAGTAGTACTGCTGTTGTTACTACTACTACTACTACTACTACTGCTGCTACAACTGCTACTACTATTGCTGCTGCAGCTTGTAGTATTTGTCTGATTGATATTTCCACTGGAACGCTCTTCAGCAGATGACCAAGTTCGCATGCTACGACGGTTTGGAGAATTACTGCGACTTGGCGGAGATCTAGACGGTGGTGGTGGTGGTGGTGGTGGTGGTGGTGGTGGTTGTAGTGGATGCTGGATCGGTGAAGACGGACGACTCACCAGAGGTGATGCTGGATAAACAATCATGTCTCCTGGTGTTACTGTGTGGTACATCATCTGGTGGTGGTGATGATGGTGATGATTGCTACCAATCATCATTGGTGTCTGTCCTGTCCAGGGCATTGAATTTATCGTTGGGAATCCCAGGTGGAGATACTGACCAGGTGTGTGATTTTGAGGATTCATCATCTGATCAGGTGGCAAACAAAGCCCTGGAGGTGGTGGAGGCATTGACAGTCCAGGTGGTATTCCACTTACCATTGGATTACGAAATTGCATGTCACCACCATAGTGTTGAATTGGTGGTGGCATTATACAATTACCTTAAAAAATTATTATTATTATCATCATTAATAATAATAATAATGGCCATTTATTTATTTTTTATTAAAATTATTATACCTGTTTGAAGTTCCATTCCTTGGACATTAACCGGCTGGTGTTTAATATTGTTGTTGATAATTCTGGATTCCTCTTCTTCCTGAAGTTTTAAAAAAATATTACCAAAAATAGCCTTTTGCTCATAAGTAAAAGCCGGATGATTGAGCGCCATTGTGTACAATAGTATCAATTCTTCAAGGGATTGTTCATCTTGGCCAGCTGCACCCAATAAATTAGCCAACTCCTGGGTGTCAATGTTTGCAAGACTCTTGTAAAAAGCAGTGGCACAATCATAATTGCATCCATGGAGAAGGGCTACATACAAAACAAGCTTGCGACGAATTCTAGTATCAGTGACACCTCCAGATTTAGCGAGTTCCGCCAAATCTGCAACATTGTTTGCGTGATGCTCGGTGTCACGCAAATCATTGTAGTCCCGTTTTCCCCGATCTTCAATGCACGTTCCGAGGTATCGAACTTCAAATGGCAGGCACATATTTAACAATGTGCACATAATATCGATCCTCTTATAACTAATAAATATAAATATAAATATAAATCATTATTATAACTGTTGAAAATTTTTAAAAAAATAAATAAAATAAAAATTAGGGTTATGAAATTGTACCTGGACAAGTTTCCAAACCATGACACGACGTTCTCTTTACACACCATTGCCAGACAACATTGATACTCACTTTGTTCGAGTAATTAAACAAAACGCAGAGACGCGTTTTAATGATTTTGATGATGAAAGAGATTACTGGTTATATATAATGGTATATAACGAAACTATAACGAATATGGTTGACGCTATACCTCTACTGACTACTAAAATACTCCTTCGCTTCAGATGATGATAATAATAATAATAATAATAATAATAATAATAATGATGATTCTAATACTACTAATAATAATATTTATTGTCAATTATCTAATTGTTTTAAATTTACTCAGTGATTATTGAATTTATAATTAAACACTTGAATTAATGATAATGAAGTTACTGGTTAAATTATTACGACCATCACCTTCAGTGTCCACTAGTATATGTACGGAGTACGAGGGGTATTAAAAAAAAAAAAAGAAAAAAAAACAACAACACGTATTATATACCTCTGATATTTTTTAAGCTTAAAGTTTATATTATTATTTCACTTTTGGCTTAAACAATACCAGAATAATAAATAAATATAACAAGTTGTTCTTTTAATTAACTATACCCATATGTATCATTTATTATTTAATAATTATTATTTGTCAAGTCGCGCAATTCGTATCAGTGTTCTCGTACGCTAAATACACGATAATGGCCATTTTTTTAAAGCCCTGTTTCCGAGTTGCGAATTTCTGTTTATTCATCGCTGCCATAAATATCGGGCTTTAGTTTGTCAATTAACCGCGAAATGAAAATTTTTAAATTTAAAAATTTTTTATTATAATTATAAGATTAAATAATTATTTAAAATAGTTAAAAATGATTGTTATTAAAAAAAAAAAATTATATTTGTTTTTTATTTGTCTGCATAAATTGATATAAAAAATATTTATTATTAATATTAATATTAATCAAGTCTTGAGGTAGACTGATAAATTCGTAGCGATAACACTGTCGCTGTGTTCAGGTAAACTAAAACCACCGGTTGTGGACGTAGTGCTTGTCGTTGTTGTCAAACTAGACTTTTCACTCAATGAATAATAATTAGGAATGTTTGGAGTTGATGTACGTGCTTTCATCAATACAGTCTTTTCAGTACTTTTATTTGTGGTAGTTTCTTTAATAGAAATTGATGAAACGTCGCTGAATCCCGGCAGAGTCGTCCAGTTGGTCGTTGTTCCATTGTTAACAACAGAAATTGATTTTTTAAGCGGAGATTTTACCCGTTTTAGGGCAATTGTTATATCAGAATTAGAGGATGAACTTAGTGCGCTGGCTTCACGAGTTTTTCGAAGCATTGGAATTAACGAAGCGAGTCCTATACGCTTCAGGTAGTCTTCCATTTTTTCAGGAGGTGATTCCACATCAATTGGCGTCGTGTCCGACACTGGAGTGCTTATTATGTCAGAAATACCAGAGAAACCAGAGAAACCTGACAAACTATTTCCACTACTTGTTGAAGTTATTTTATCGCTCTTAATATTAGTGATTCGTTCAACGGAATTTCTTGCGCTACAATTAATTAAAAGTGACTCTATTGATTTTTTATTTAAATTATTATTTGAAAATTGTACCAGTGGTTTATCCTCTCTATCTTTATCTTCTTCAGTCAAAAGAATATTAGAGTGGATACTGAGGATACCCAGAGAAGACACAGACTCAATAATATTTTCATCAGACTTTTCTCGAGTCGTATTTTCTAATTTTTTTTCACCGTCTTTGATCGATTCACCTAAATTTACGGAAATTCCAATATTATTTTTACTATTCAAATTATTACCAACAACAACGCGAGTTTCAGGCGACAAAACTTTTTTTAATTTTCCAGGACTCCTTACACTCCATTGGCTTTGATTTCCCGTGTCAGGAGTATCCAATTCTTCAATTGTTGATAAATTTTCAGGTTTTAATGCTTTTGTCGGAGCTCTATAATTTTTAAATTTTAATTATACATTTAACAATAATAATAATAATAATAATAATAATAATAAAATAAAAAACGTACCTGGTATGTGATTCAATATAATTATCATCGTCCAATGTAATAACTGGTATTATGTCTTTATCTTTTGTAGAATTTTTTACCTACAAAATAAACAATTGATTAATTAAAAAAAAAAAAATAAAAAATAAAAAATTAAAAAATATATAATTTACCTTTTCAGTCTTTATTTTTGTTTTCTTCTCAAACCCTTTGACTTTTTTACTCTGCTCTAAAATTTCCTGAGACAATTTAGCAACTACCTCATCATTGGAAAGAAGACTAGGTTTTTTCAAGCCATGCTTTTTTCTCCAACCTTCAATGTCCACATTAGCCACTTCCTCAGCTATTATTTTCGGCTTAGTTTTTGATAATTTAATAACAGGCGGTGTTTTACTTTTATTCAAATTATTATTATCTGTAATAGGATTTTCAACAGGATTTAATTCTCTTTGGGTAGTTTCGCGAGCTGTAGGACTATATTGAAGACGAAGATCATCAACCGCCTTTATTAATTGATTGATACTTTCCAAATTAGTCGGAATATTTTTAGAAGCCTCGTTTCGGTGTTGATTCAACAGAGCATCAATAACTTGGATATTTTCAATGCACTGCTGTTGATCGAGTTGCGACTGTTGACCAACTTGTTCTTCCTCTTGGGATAATCTATCTTCGAGGTAATACCGTGTTTTTTTATGATTGTTGTTGTTGTTTTTATTGTTGTGACTCTGCGACGTTAAGGTATCATCGTCGGTACCGGTATCAGTATCGGTGTTGGTCTGCTCACTCAGTCCTGTAAATTCTAAAATTTTAGCAATTCGCTCAGGACAGGGTCTGTTTGATCGCATATTTATTATTCTCGGCGATGGAGTTTCTGGTGTTGATGCCGGCGATACGTTGAACCTTGCTAATCTTCTAGCTACAGTGTTATTTTCTGACAAATCCAGCAGCTCAAGAATCGACGTAATGTTGCTGAGAAGAGAAGTATTTGAGGTGGGTTTTATTGCTCCTAAACTGGCGTACGACGAGGAACTATGGGATAAGTTTTCATTGAAAAGATTCGGACTTTGCTCGTATTTGGTGCTTTTTTTTGTAGACTGCACCTGATTTTGATTATTTTTCAGAGATGTTGAAGCATTTGAATTTTCGGGTGAAAAAAGACTATCTTCTCTAGCAGCTGGAATCGATACTGAGGGTGCTGCTGCTGCTGCTGCTGCTGCTGCTGCTACTGATCGTACTTGTTCGTTATCTTTTGAGGGTGAAGTAACTTGGATTTTACCATTTCCAACATTAATAACAATGCTACGACGCGACCTCTCGGTTGTTGGAGTAGCAATGTCTGGGTGAGTTATTATCGTAACCACTGGCTCAACGTAATCCAATTTATCCGATTGTTTAACCGTATCTTGGATATTTAAAAGTCTGGATGCTCTGTCTGGAGACATTTCGACTTGAACACTCTTGTCCTTGCCTTCCTCTTCAGTTCTAGATGTCTGAACCGCTATTTCACTTCTATCAGACGTTTTATTTGTTTTTCTATTGCTTTTTTCTTTTCGTAATTTTATTTTTCTTCCATTGTCAGAGACATTTGACAAATTAATAACTTTTATTTCTGGTGATAATTGTCTTGCTGCTGGTGACAGTGCAGCTGGTCGTTCAGGCTCCTGAATTTTACTCTGATTGGTGGTAATATTATTATTATTGTTGTTGTTGTTGTTGTTGTTGTTGTTGTTGTTGTTGTTGTTGTTAAATAACGGAGTCATGCTCGCGTCAAATATTTCATTTGGCAAACAAGTTCCAAATTCTTGGAGCAATAATTTTTTTTGCCTCTCGACTTTTTTCAACATTTCTAAAATTTGTTCATCACGCGTTAAATTTTGCTCTACTTCGGTCTCTTGTTGATTTCTCATTGAAATCACGTGAGGCTCGTCTCTCTCTGCTGATTGATGATCCCCCCAGCAAGCAGCTTGTTGAACCGGTGATTTTTGAGTTTCTTTCCGCGGCAGAGTAATTATTCTTTCAGGTAATTGATTGTCTTGTTCACTTGCCGTAAAAATACCATCAAAATCACGATCGATAAGTTTTTGTCTTGCTTTTTCAACTCTCTTGTTTCTCAGCTCGGCTTGAGTTTTTCCTCGATCCCGTTCCCGATACTCCTGAGATTTCCGTGTCTCAGAATCAACGTGCCTAGAAGCCTTCAATTTTCTTTCCTCCCTAGACAAATTATCGAGATTTTTAATCAAATTATTGTAATCGCGTTTAACTTTCTCTCTAAGCAGAGCATCAACTCCTCGACGTCTGGATTTATTCTCATCAATTTTATGAGAAGAAGGTTGTTCTTGAACAACCTGCTGAGCAGCTTCTTGAGCATTCATTTCTCCCTCAACATTGATGATCCTCTCTACAAGATCGCTTGATTTATTCACAGTCAATGGAGTTTTTTGAGTAGTTATCTGGGTGTTTTTGCTTCTAGATGTCAAAGAAGTTGTTGGTCTGTTGGTAGTTTGTGCAGGAATGTCAGAAAAATAAGAAGAATCATCGCTAACAGACGTAGTACTGACCAAATCAATATTATTTGGCTGTCTGTAGTCCTCGGGATTGTACTTTGAATTATCACTGTGTCTTTCAGAATTTCGACAAGTACAACAATCGTTGCACAAACACAAAAAATCTGTTATTACATCTTCCTCAGGCTCTTCCTGGTGAACTTCTACGATAACTTGATGCTGCGGTGATTTTATTCTCCTTTTTATCGGTAAATTTTTCAAGAGCTTTTTCTTTTTAGCAGAAACAGGTGGTTGTGGTTTTGGTTTCGATTTAGCTTTTGGTAGTCCTGCTATCATGGCCGAGCGTAAGTTTTCCGTCTCGCGAACTTGTTTCAACCTTTGGTGTTTAGTATTACCATTGTCACTTTTGGCATTGATCAAATGAGCCGCCTCTTTTCCACGTTCAACAGCTACCGCATGGTTTTTGTACTTTTCAGCTTCTAAAATAACCTGAGACTGGGGCTGAATCGATGCAGATTCGTGAGCTAGCCCAATATTATTCATTTCATCTTGATACCGCTGCTGGATCTCATTTAATTTTTTATTGTGCAAACGTCTCAAATCAGAATCTTGATTTTTTTCTAAATTATTTATTTCCTTTCTTGCAATGTCTTTTGTCCGTTCTAATAAATTACTCGATATATCTTTTGACTGCTGCCGTACCTAAAAATATATTCCAATTAGTATGTATAATAATAATAAAAAATAAATATTCATAATATAGTTATTATTTACCTGTTCAATACGTAACCTACGACGACGTTCACGTTCAAATTTTTTTATTTGCTCACGGTCCGATAAAACTGTTTTTTCTCTTCGCATACAAGCTGGATTTACTGTCACGTATACAGACATATTTTTGTTACATTTATTTACATTACAAATAATATATATAATATAAATAATTTTATTTTTAAATATATAATAAATTTATCTGACAACAACAAAACAAAACGGTTAGAATTTTTTTCTCTTTCTCTCTCTAATAAAAATGGCCGCGGAATTAAAATCCAGCGACATTTTTTTTTTTTAGTTTATTAAGAAAAATTTTTTTCAACAAGAAATTTATAAAATATATCTAACGCCATTTTTAATAACAAAAAATAATGAATATAAAAAATTAGTGTGCTTTTTTTTTTTTTTTTTTTTTTTTTTTTTTTTTTTATCCCATATTCACATATTATCCCATAATAAAATTGAGATGAAATGTATGTGGCATCAAACTATTCGTAACGTGATTGGTTGAATATATCATCCACTCTTATAATTTAGATGAAAAATATGAAAATATATCATGTAAGAGCAAACTATTCGTAACGTGATTGGTCAAATATATCATCAGCATGAAAATATAGATACCATACCAACATTCACACGCGCGCTTGCGCGCGCAACGTATACTAGTTCCCATAATAAAATTGAGATGAAATGTATGTGGCATCAAACTATTCGTAACGTGATTGGTTGAATATATCATAAGCATGAAAATATATGCAAACTCTATAGTCAAGGCGCGCGCTTGCGCGCGTAAATTCAAATTCTAGTCCTAATATAAAATTGAGATGAAATATATGTGGCATCAAACTATTCGTAACGTGATTGGTCGAATATATCATAAGCATGAAAATATATGCAAACTCTATAGTCAAGGCCCGCGCGCTTGCGCGCGTTAATTCAATTCTAATCCCATAATAAAATTGAGATGAAATGCGTATGTGAAACCAATTTATTCGTGATGTGATTGGTTGTCCCATAATAAAATTGAGATGAAATGTATGTGAAACCAATCTATTCGTGATGTGATTGGTCGAAAATAAATATTCTCATTCTGATTGGTTGAAAGTGAATATAATATACATAAACGACACATAAATATATCATTACAATAAATATGACGCGCGCGTTTGCGCGCGAAAATTAAATTCTAGTCCCATAATAAAATTGAGATGAAATGTATGTGAAACCAATTTATTCGTGATGTGATTGGTTGAAAATAAATATTCTCATTCTGATTGGTTGAAAGTGAATATAATATACATAAACGACACATAAATATATCATGACAATAAATATTGTACAATTGTGGACTGAATTTGTAAATCCCACTTGTAAATAATTACCAAAATTGTTGATTATTCTATTTAATTCGGCGGCAGTGTAACACACCTTACTATTTTTTTTTTTTCAGTTAATTTGTAAAACTTAATTAAACACTATACGTATCATGTTTATAATTTTTACAATCATACAATATTAAAGAGTCTTCAATGAGGATATATTACAAAATTTAATATTTAATTTTAGATCATAGACGTAAAAAATAAATATCCTACGTAATTATACAGGTCTTAGTGATAATCAGGGCCGTCGCAGCGATGGCTAGCCTCAGGAATCCCCTCGAGAAGATAGAAACAGCTCCAGAATTAGCAGAGTCTTGATTCGAGGACGTTACTAATTCATCAGTACTTCCTGTGATATACGATCAATTTTTTTATTTAACAAAATTTATTTTTAAATAAATAACATCGAATGCAAGCTTTGAATAATCGCACGAAGAAACTCATTAATTTAAATTTTATTCACACTGCGCTGAATAAAATAATAAATCCTCATTATTATTCAGCAACTTATCAACGCAGAGGGTAATAAAGAAACACTCAACACTCCAACAAAAAAATTTCTGATGCATACATTCCTTTTGGTGCGGGACCTAAAATGTGTGTTGGTATGGTACGTATTACAGCCAGTGTACCAATCAAGCGCTGGAAAACGCATATCTCCCAAGGGTGAAAATAAAACTTACAAGCACTTGAAACGTTGTAAATAGTGAAAAATCTCTCCAGCAAATTCTTCCAGGATAAAAATGTCAGCTTTGGTTGGATCCATTTTCTTACACTCCTCCTCTGTGACCCGGCCAGCGTGGTTGGAGGTTATTTTCTGCATATTTCTAATTATTAAAATATAATTAGTATTTTACAAAGAGTTAAAATAAAAAACATGTTAATAAATAAAATAAAAACTTACATCAAATGCATTCCTCATATCTATAGTGCTGCAATATTCATCTTTATACTTTGAAAAAATAACAAAGTAAAAATTAAAAGAATTCAATTGAATGTTTTTACTAGTCATTATAAAATATATTTTGATTTTTATTCAAAATTTTAGCAAAATATAATCGTAGCTGTTGCTGTAATATTTTTATATAAAATAAATATAAATATATTTATTTATTTTACAATCCGTTTATAAATATCAACTATTATACTGACGCTCTCTTCAGCTCTCTTACTACTTTTTTCAGCTTTTTTACTCTTTTACTTGCTTTTGCTTTTACTCAACAGCTGAGTTGACTATCGCCATTTTTAAGCGGTAAACCATATTATATTTAAATTTTACCAGCTGCTAGCAGCGCCATGAACACCATCGGGACCATATTGAAGACCATGGCTTTAAAATAAAATCGAACATAGTAAACATAATAACAAAAAATTTAATGAATATTGCATTAATATTATAACTTTTTCATATTGTTTTAAACGAAAATCAAGTTACATACAACAAAACTAAAAATTATGACCGTCAAATACAATTAATTAATTGTATTTGTTGTCAGTTTTTTAAAGCTTCTTATCATTTATTTACACCAACCTATTTCCGTGACTGTAGTGTTTCATCCACGGATTTCATCCGTGGAGCGTGGCAATAGACACTTTGCTCTTGTTGCTACAACTATAAAACCGTGAAAGAAAAAGAGGGAGACGAACAGGATTACAGATTACAGTCGTCGTGACATTAAATACAAGCGGCCAGGCTACTTTTTATTATTATTTTAATTAGTCATTGCGCGTGACAGCTAAATAGAAAATAACACAAATTAATTATTTAAATAAAAAGTAATAAACATAAACAAAGTATTATCTTCCGTATAAAATAAAAATACTTACGACAATGAATTTGTGACAAAAACGGTGAGCCTTTTATTTTTTTTTTTGCTCTAATTTTTTTTTTTCTTTTTTTTATCATCATCAATAAGCTTCGACGTAATGGCTGTGTGTCTTTATCAGTGAGCTTTGAGGGAAGCTTATTATTTATTATTATCGAGCACGAGCACGCAAAATGCGTATTAAACAGCTCGCGGTATTTATTATTATTAATTATTATTATTTTTTTATATCGATAATACAAGAGCGCGGGAAAATTTAAATTATATATTGATCCAAGAGGTTATCTCCCAGCTGTTTTATTTTTTTATTTATTTTTATCCATTAATTCTGTCATTTAACTGATATTTTTTACTTTTTATAAGAAAAATTAAATTGGAAAAAAAAAAAAGAAATAATAATTAATAAATGACCAAGGGTTAAATTAACATCCCCCATAATAAAGGTCCTTGAAAATCGATAATTTTTTACGTCACAGAATCAGATAAAACAAATAACCACCGTGGGCGTAATATATATTATATATTATATATTATATATAATAGGTGAAAAGCCCCCCTTCCTTTCTATAAGCTTACTGTTTAAATATTTATAAAATTACCAAGTATTTATTTTTTCAGATTGACAATGTCCAGCAGCACAAAAGACTAAACTCCACAGGATGTGGAGATAATAATTTTATTGGTGATATTCTCTTTTTCTCTCTCTCTCTCTCTCGATTATTCAAATTCTAAACAATTTAAAAAACACGACGTCTTTAAACGATATTGTGCACTTCAAAAGGACAGCATTATTCTCTCTCTCTCTCTCTCTCTCTCTCTCTCTCTCTCTCTCTCTCTCTCTCTCTCTCTCTCTCTCTCTCTCTCTCTATACAATATATCTATAATAGGATTATTACACCAGTTCCATAAAAAAATAAAGTTTAGTTAAATAAAGTGATAAAGTGTGGAAGGGTATTTGTGAAATGGCCTTCATGATGAAGAAAAAAAAGTACAAATTTTCGGTAGAACTTGTCCTTGAAGAACTTACCGCGGTGCCTTTTGTAAACGCAGTATTGTTTGCAAAGATGCGGTTAACGGACAGTGGATCCTTTGTAGATCACTCCACCAGGTGAGCTTTCTCTTGTTATTATAATTTATAAATTAATTTTATTTTTTTATAATTATAATTAGTATTATAAACAATCGTCACTTCTATTCCCGGTTTAAAATACCACCCACGTTTGTTGGCCAATAGCCAAAATCTATCCGATGACGCTCATCCAGCTCTGGAATTTACGGAAGCTAAAAAAAGATTCAAACAATAAAGATAATAAATTTTATGCTTGATATATCCGCATTTTTTTTTTTTTTTTTTTTTTTTTTTTTTTTTAATTGATAAATCGACACGGAAATGATAAATTTTAAAGCGGTAATAAAATTAAAAGTAAACAGAGCAATGAACTTGCTGTGGAGAAAAGTAATCACTGATTAATTGTGACAAATAAAAATAATATTACCAAGTAGCACTGGGGTAAAATCCTTGAACGATAATAACCTTTTCTGTGATTATTTAAAATAGTTTAAGATAAATGTCTTGCCGCAGTGCGGTTCTGGCTCCCATTTAATTACCTTAAAAAAAAAAAATAATTTCGTTAATATTATTATTGTACAAGTAAAGAGGAAAGAGAAAAAAAATTAAGAGGAAGAAAAGTCATAAGTACGCCGAGTTAGGTGCAGGTTAATATAAACAATATATAAAGATAATGGACAATGTCCGTTGTGGGAAGTTACTGTTGCTCTGCTGATGAGGAAACGGAAATATAATAACTTTATGTATTTATTTATTTATTTATTTATCTATTTTTTTTATAGAGGTCTTTGGGATTCAGCCAATGTAAACGGTGTCCTTGACCGCTATTCCTTGCCAAAAATTACGGGTTTAAATTGTCGAGGACAATCTGGACAGTTTTCATTATATATTATTGATTTATATTGAGAAAAATTAACGCACCAATGACGGTACCTTTGTAAATCAATAATCTTTGCGTCATACATAATTTTATATATTTTTTTATAATAATTAGTTAAAAACGTTTTATTCTAATGACACGTTATTGGCCGTGACCGTGGTTGTCAGACATAGACAATAAAGAATAATAATTATGATAAACAGACATGGTATTAATATAAAAAAAAAAAAAGAAGTCATCCTACTGAATGTATGATCTAACACTTGTTATTTTTAAATATGTCATCATCGTCATAATTATTTTAAAATCTACACTTAAATATCTAATGGACTGTTAATTATTTTCCTTAAACAGATAATTTAAATTTAAGAATAATAATTAATTATTGTATTTTGTTGGTCTAAGAAATCGTGCCAAGTAGCCAAGTAGAGCCGCGTTCAAGGTTCTGATAAGGAATAAATTTGTTTTATATTAGAGTCTAATATACAGAGATTGAGGATAAAATCGTTTCATTTGGTTGACTTTAGAAAGTTTATTTACTGGATTATGAAATAAAATTCAAAGAGCCTTGAACAGCCTTGCCACTAGTCCCCAGTTTAAAATTCTGGATATTAACGAAAAAAAAAAAAAAAAAAAAACCATTATAAGAGATGTATAAAAGGTTGTAGTTGTATTAGTGTATAAATTTATACTTTTCTTGATTTAATTACGTAACCGATTATCGGGTCTGCAACAAGTGAAAGAAGGTTACAGCCTTTTTAAATCCATCACAGACAGATTTTATTTTTTATTTTATTAATACTCTATATTTTTTATTAGTTATTATTATTATTATTATTATTAATAATAATTACGGAAGTGAGATTGATTATTGAAATGATAATGGACCACTTGACCTTACTTGGCTGCAATCGATTTAGTTTGAATATCATTATTATTTTTATATTACTTGAAATATTACTTTTCATTATTTTTATTTTGTATAATTACTTTACTACACGCAATGACGTTTAGATTTATTTTAAGTAGCATTAATCAATACAATAGGTAAAACCCACAGTTATATTATTAATCCCCTAATATATTTTTAAATCCATTCGCAGAGTCTAATCTTTTTTATAAGCCTATTAAATTATTTACAATCACGTACATAACTTTTGTTATTAAAATAACATTTCTATTAATTTAGACTTTCATAGTATGGAAAAAATAATTATTATTATACTACTTTCATTAATTTCACTATAGTGAAAATAATATTTTAATTAATTACAATTTATTCTCAGCTAAATTTCTCTATTTATTTCAGGGAAGAAGTTCAAGATCATACGGTACGATGGAATGCTAAATTTGAATTTTTATGCAAAATGAGCGCCAGCGCATCCACTGGAGTTCTTGATCCTTGCATACTCAGGATATCTATCAGAAAAGTAAATTTCCTTTAAATTTTATTAAATTTAAATAAATATTAAATATTAAAAAAATAATCATGATTTTTATAGGAACTTAAAGGAGGACGATCATTCCAAAAATTAGGATTCACTGATTTAAATCTTGCGGAATTTGCTGGAGCTGGACTGTGTCGACGTAGGTGTTTACTCGAGGGTTATGATACGCGACATCGTCAAGATAATTCGATGCTGAGAGTCGCTATTAAAATGAACATGCTCTCAGGAGACATTCTGTTCAAAGTGTAATTATTATTAATTATTTCATTAAAGTTAAGTATCAAAATCATTAATTTTAATATATTAAAATTGTTAAAGACCTTCACCGTCGCCAAAACAAACTCAGCTTGCAGTCCCGGGGGCTCCTGGTGTCCCGAGTATTGCCGATGAAGTTATTGTAAGCGATAGATGTAATCGTGAGGACTATGTATCGAGTGGTTCTCTTGCTGGGAGCACGGCAAGCGCCAGCAGTGGGTTTGGTAGTCTTCCTAAAAAGAGGCCCGCACTCTTTTCTTCAGGTAATTTGTTTTTTTTTTTTTATTATTATTATTATTATTATTATTATTATTTTATATTAATTTTTTTTTTGTTAATTTTAATAGAATTGCTCAGTGGTACGGAATCTTATGATCCGATGACGCTCAATGAAGTGGTACCTTCGGCATTGCCTCCAGAAGTATTGACTGAAGTTCACACAGAGTCGGGGCACTCGAGAAATTCAAGCAACACAAGTCAACTGAGCAAAGGCTCGGGATATGGTTCTTTAAATTCTCATAGTCAGCACAGTAGACAAAGCAGCAGTGGTGACAGTGGACACATTAGGTAATTTTATTTATATTTTGTATAGTAATTAATAATTTTAAAAACATTCGTTGATAACCTCAAATTAAATATTCGAAATATTTGAAATTTTAATCTGAGAATATTAATTAAATAAATAATTAATAACACTAGGAATCATCTACTAATAAGTCATATCATCAGCTCTAAGAACATTCCCTTTGCTAGGGTTGTTTTTTTTTCTTTTTTTAATTAATTTATTTTTATTATAATTTAATTTTTAATTTTTATCGTAATTAATAAAATAATAATAATAATAATAAATTTATTATAATTTTGCATGAAAATATTTTTTGTGTTAATTATTATAGGTCACCCTCTTGGCCGGTATGGGCACCACGGCTCCCAACCCTCTCTCAAATTGAGCCCTACCCTGTAAATAATAATCCCCCGAGCTCGATGTATTTAACGCCCCCGTCACCTTTGTCCCAGTTGTCCAAATTATCCCGATTGGGTTCAGAATCATCGACCCCAAAACGTTTCTGGACTCCGTCTTCATCAATACCCGTCGAGTCGATTAGATCCCTGAGTAGTACAGTTGGCTCGGTAAATGTCAACGGTACTTATCATCATCATCATCACCATCATCATCATTCTAATAGAGATAGTTTCACAACAGCGGGTGGAGGATTTAAAAGACCTCTTCCGCGAATCGGACAGTCGACCTGGCGCAATATCTCTAAAACTTGTGATTGCGTCGAGAACCAGCCAAGTTCAACGGTATTGCGACTGGCCGACCAAGCCCGAGCTGTCTCTTCCCCAGATCCTCTTCATCGGCCCGAAACTCCCCGCACCTCCTCGTTTATCTCCGTTGCTGCTCAAACCCTCAGGTAGGTTATTTATTTAAAAAAAAAATAAATAAATAAATATCACCGGTTATTGCTGTTATTTGGGTTACCCGCGTGTGGTGATTAGTCGCCGTAACTTTTTAGAATTTCCTAAGCTTTATCTTCTGAATGGATCAGGTGCTATCATTTTCATTCTCATTCTCATTTTTTTTTTTCACTACAATTGCATTTAAAAGTAAATATTTTCTTTATTTTTTTTTTATTGATTGATTACGAGCTTGTTTTAAAAAAATTAGTATGGCTTTTGTTTGGAAACTTGCAGAGGCATCGGAGGCGGGCACAGAAAATTACTGGACGGTACGGGAGTTAAATTAGCAACAGTTACTACAAGTCCAGACTCTGATGAATCAATGCTAAGTGTCCCGTCAGATATATCATCTGCTACTTTACAGCATCGTAACAGCATTACCCCACCGTATGCTTAATTATCTATTATTACTAAATACAGACTATACTAGCTTGTGCATGTGGCTTATCATTTACATTTCAACTTTTATTTTTTTTTTTTTTTATAATCCTTTGAAGATAAAAAAAAAAATATTAAAAAAATTTCTAATTACAAGTTTATTGATAATAAATTTGTATTTTTATTGCAAGAAATCCATCTGGTGGATCAGGATTGAGCGAAACTGGATCGCTGGATCGAGCAAAAGCTGCTTTAGAGCGCAGAAAAAAGGCTGAGGACTCTGGTAATTCAGTCGCGTGTAGAGTTGAAGTGACACGTCCTAATCCGGACTCGTTGATTGACGAATTGCTCAAGGCAACTAATTTAGAGCAGACTGATCTTGAAAGTGCTGAAAGTAAGTTATTAATATATGTACAAGTAACAATGAGAATTATTAAAAATTAATTAATTAATTGATAATTTTTAGCGTCTGGACTGCAATTATTTATTGGAAAAGACGGATCAACAGCGCTGGGTAGTCATGAAGTTAAAAGCCAAATGCCGGCAGGTGTATTTAAGCAAGTTGTTATGGAAGAAAACAATAGGTAACATCAGCAGATGACGACGTCTGGCAGCTCATTAAGAAGACAGTACTCGTCATCTCGCCAGTCAACAATACCACCAACATTTTCACTAGCTCTTGTACCGGAACTCGTTATGGAAACTTCCGAACCGAGATAGTAATTCGTACTATAGTACTTTTTTTTTTTTTTTTTTTTTCATCTTACTATTATTATTATATATTTTCTTGATTATTTTATTTTATTTTACTCGTATTATATATATTAACAAAGATGGTATTTTATTAGTCCATCGGATTCCGATCGCGTAAATCGCACATGAGACTAAGACTTTATTTTCTTATTTCTTTTCTTCCTGGAATTTAAACGATTGGTAGTTAAATTTTAAAAATAGATAGATAAATAATAAAATGTTTATTAAATTTAAACACTACGGTTACTTGTGTCGGTTTTTATTTTATTTTATTTTATTTTTTTTTTTTTTCATTTTTCTTCTGTAAATAACAATGATCTTTGAAATAACGCAAGTAAATCGACTGTTTAAAATTTGTATATATAATAATAACAATAATTATTGAAAATACGTAGTTGTTAATTAGATAAGTGGCGCTTCAGACAATTTTTATTATTTATTTTTCGCCGCTTGATGGTTGCCATAAATTATAATACATCTAAAGAAAAAAGTGGAAAAAAAAAAAAAAAAAAAAAAAAAAAATGATAATGGAATTGAAGGATATTTATTTTTATTTTTAATTTAGACTTGCCAAAATACACAACCAGTTATTAATTATTAAATCATCACGTGACATCACTGACTGATTTCTTATGGTATTAATCATTAATTAAATGCTTCTTAATTATGTCTCAGATTCTTCCAATTGAACATTTTTTTTATTGCAACTGTTTTTTTTTCTTCTCTTTATATAATTTACTGGTGATGTGTATAAATTTTTAATCGCCAGTTTCAGCAATTGTAATTATATCGCTGTATTTTGATTTTTTTAAAATAATTTACGCGTGAAAGAAAAACAGATATTATTGTTGTGATATTTATGATAATTGTAATAATTCAATTATTACTGTATTGTCAATTGTATTATATATTAATTAAAAAAACAAAAATTATATTTTATGGCTACGTTTTTTTTTTTTTTTTTTTTCTTTTAAAAGAAAAATAATGTAAGAAAGTACAGAAAGATTCATATAAGGATGTGTTTAAGTTGTCTTCAATAAATAACTAGATAAAAAAAATTAGTTGGAATTTAACAGAGAGAAGCGGAACTGTATAAACTTTCTCTAGGTCCAAAGACTTGATCTAACTTATTGCTGTTGACGTAACGTCCGTTTCATTATTATATTATTATTTCGCACTTAGTATCGATTTATAAATAAATAAATAAAACAAGGCTTTCACGTTTAAATAAAACGTAATATACGTCCATCGTCCATCTCTAAATTAATATTAATCACTGTTATTATAATCGCGTAACAATTGGATAAAAAAAAATTAAAGACAAAATATATAACAGTTTGAAATATAAATTCCCCTCTCCTATAAATTTAATTTTTTTACCTCTCTGGCTTGGAGCCTTCCAGTTCTCAGTACATTTCTCTGTTTGCTCTTTTAATCAGACAATATCAGTAGACTCGGGAAACTTGCAATTAAACAATGTCAATAATTAAATTGTCCATTAAATTTATTTTTATTATATTACTTCCCGTTTGGGCAGAGACAGCGGACTTTGATAAATATTTTCCAGCTTACGCGGTCGCTAAATACTCTCAGGGTTTAAAAAACTCGAGTTGTAAGAGTCAATTGGAGGAATTTAAAGTTGGAGTGGATGCCAAGGTGCTTTGGAGTCTTAAAGGTAAAAATAATTGAAAAAAAAAATTATCAATTTATTAAATTTAATTTATTGTTTAACAGTTTTAGATGCTAGCGGTGAACCAAAACCTGGATTTTTTTATGGTAATAATTATTGGCTTGGTTTACGAAGTCAGTGTTTTGATTTGGAAATTAAAGAGCCTCTGGAGTTGGACCAAGAATATTTAAAAAATAATTCAAGGTACCGGAAAAAAAGTCTCGAGTTTCCACCCTTTCCGTTGAATTATTTTATTGTTAAATTTAATCACAACAGCACCAATCAGTATCACTTTAGGATTAAAAATGAGGTAAGTTTTTTTTTAATTATAACTTTACATATTTAGTTTATTTATTTCATATGAATTTTAAAAAAAATTATAGGACATAATAACATTGGGATTATGTTTGCCTGGATCTTGTCTACCAGAAGAATTGACCGAAATAATTAAACAGATCTTTGATAAAAGAATCCTTGCAATTAGTAATTTGTATTCCGCAGACTTTACCCTTTTGGAAATTTACGATCTTAAAGACAATCATCAGTGGCTTATCAATTGGCGGATAATCACTACATGGTTTGAATAATAATAATAATAATAATAATAATAATAATAATAAATTAAATAAATAAAAATAATTATTATCCAGCTGTATCCTGATTGTAACGGTGATAATGGCAATAATTGGAACGACTTGTGATATAATTATTAATCAGCGACGTCAAAAATCAAAGGAAAAGGAAAATGTTTTTAAGAAAATATTAATTTGTTTTTCCATCTATAGAAATTCTAAAATAATATTCAATACTAAAATAAATAAAGATTCTGTTGCGTCAATTCACGGACTACGTTTCTTCGGAATGCTATGGATCATGATGATCCACACGGTTTACTACTCAAATGATTACGTTGACAATAGAACAACAGTCTGGCGATTATCTCAAGACTTACCCGCTCAAATTCTCACCAACGGGAGTCTATCTGTTGACACTTATTTCTGTCTCAGTGGATTCTTGGTCAGTTGGCTCTATTTTAGACACAAAACCCGTGAAAATCCAGCCAGAGAGCGCAAATTCCAGTGGTTAGATTATTTTGGACTAATTTCTAAACGTGTCATAAGGTAAATAATAAAAAATAAAAATTAATTATTTGTATATGTATATATATTTATAATTTCAGACTTACTCCGGCGTATTTATTAATTATCGGAATTGCTGAAATAAATTTTGGATGGTACGCTGAAACATCAGCTTTTAGAATAGCTGAAAAACCTCAAGAAAATTGTCCCCTGTATTGGTGGAGAAATTTATTGTACATAAACAATTTATTTCCTTGGAATCAAGCAGTATGAATAAATTATTTTATTTTTTAAATCATATTTATTAATTTAATAAATATATATGTTTATTTTTAATTAAAGTGCTTGTCTTGGAGCTGGTATTTATCCAACGAGATGCAATTTTATATTATTGGAACTTTTTTACTTATTTTATCAGACTTGTGAGTTATTTATTTTATTTAAAAAATTTTTATTTCAATTAATAATAAAAAATTTTTAGATACTTTAAAATAGCTGCTGGAGCTTTGATTAGTTTTTTAATTATTTCAATGGTAATCAATGGTATAATTTCTTCAGCATACGCGTATACGACCATGTAATTATATTTAAATTATTATACATAATAATATGTTTTTATATATAATTAATTAGAAATACCCGTAGGTTAGATCAATTATGGAATCTAATGGATGTTGTATATTCACCTCCTTGGATGAGAATTGGTCCTTATTTAATAGGAATTATTGCTGGATATATTTTAACAAGGCTCAAGGGTAAATTAATTCTCAAACGAGTAAGTAACACAAAATAATAAAATTTATATTATATTTTGTAGATAATTGCCTATGTGTTTTTATATATTTTTCAGAAAATATTGTGGTTATTTTGGATAATAGGCAGCATTTGTAATATTTTAACACTCTTTGGACTTTACGGGCGTCATCTTTCAATAGCCACCACTGCAGTTTATGTTGCAGTAAGCCGAATTACATGGGCTATAGGTATATCATGGTTATTAATCGCCTGTCAAACCAACAATGCCGGTTTTATAAATAAATTATTATCTCTTAAAATATGGATACCTCTAAGCAGACTTACTTATTGCGCGTATTTATTAAATCCTCTTCTTATTAATTCTATTTATCTTCAATCTGAATCGGCAATTCACATAGACTTTCTTCCAACTGTAAGTTTTAATTATTATTATTATTATTATTATTATAATAATAATTATTTTTATTATTTTTTCAGAAAACCATGTTCCTTGGAATCGCCTTTATGACTTATTTTTGTGCATATATTGCTACTATTTTATTCGAGACTCCCTATATTTTATTGCTTAAAATGTTTAAATCATAAATTTTGTAAATATATATATTTTTTAATTTGAATAAAATTCAAAATTTATAATTATAAAAAAAATTAATTTAAAACCGTAAGACTAAAATAACTAAGTACACATGGTGTTTGATAATAAATATTGATCAAACATTTGGGTCGTATTTATACATCAAGTGTATGTTATAAATTAAATATAGTAAAAGCATTCAAGTACTAATTAAAAGTTAAAATTAGTTTATTTTAATAAAAATGCCGGGAAAGAAAAAAAAAAATAAAGGATCAAAATTAGGAAAAATGAGTGAAGAAGAACGATTACGTTATCTTCAGCATCGAGCTGAAGTAGAATTAGAAGCTAAACGACGAAAGCAGCAGCTTATTGCCGGTTTTACTAAAAATAAATTAAAACGCGAGGAGGCATTTTCTCGTTTAAATCATGCTAAAATAAATGAACAATGGAGATTTAAATTACGGCAATTTAAAACCCGGGAATTGTACAATCACGTTGAGTATCTATGGAATTATTTTGATGAAACATTTAATAAAAAAAATTCAATAATTGATAGACTTTATCATGAATTGGAAAATTCAGATGTTAATCATCGTCGTCTTCAACAAGTACATATTCTAATGATTGATAAATTGATTGATAGTCATAGAAAAAGACTTGAGGGATTACATGATAATTATATTAAATATCTAATGTTGATAAAAATTGGAGAGTTTAATGAAATGGGCGAGGCTAAACGAGAATTAATTGATAGTTGTAAACATTTAGAAACTGTTATTTATAATGAAAATTATTTAATAAATGATAAATTAGTGAAAACTATGACAAGAAATGCTATCAATACCTACAATATAGAATTCACAGTAAGTTTTTTAATTTTATTAATACTAAGTTAATAATTATTAATATTAAATTGGTATTTTATTTCAGAAAATTAAAGATATTGATAAAATTCGAAAAACAACAGGAGATAATATTTTTAAATTATGGTTTAAATTAAAACAAACAATTGCCAATTATCAAAATAAAACTAAAAATCTAAGACAACAGTATGAAAATTTAAAAAAATTTGATGAAAATCATAAAAATGAAACAATTAATTTTCCACAACTTGAACATTTTTTGACATCAACAATAGACATTTTAAAAAATCAAGAAAATTTATTGACAGAGACGCGAAATAAAGCTATTAAAGATTTAGAGGTAAAAATTGAGATTTTTAATAGACGTGTTCTTAAGCTGCGAGATAAATCAAGTTTTGATAAAATTACCGATAACATACAATTAAAAAGATTAAGCGTTGTAAGTGGAAAAGTAATTGATGATTTGAAAAAAATTGAGGATAAAAGCCATACTGTAACCCTACTAATTAATTTGTGTTCAAATATCGAGCCCTTTTTAATAGGCAAGTGTACACAACTTATTAATCAAAAAGAAACTGATGATGACAATGATAAAGAGTTTAATTTAGTGACTAAAGACCAGTCAATAATTGCTCCTTACAATCTTCTAGATAACTTTTGGAAAGCATTTAATTATGTTAAAGCGGAAAATTATATTCGGAAAAAACAATTAAGTAAAGCGATTGCTGAAAATAATAAATTAAAACGTTATATCAAATCGTACTTTGGGGCTGTAACTCGAGCAACTGCTAAATTAATTGATTGATTATATTCATTTATTGATACAGTGAAAATTTAAATCTTATTTATTCATTATTTTGTTAACTAAAATTTATATGTATATTATAATAAAAAATATACTTGAATTGAATTAACGTTGAGTAAAAATTCCTCCGCCAATATTTAAATATTTGTAGGGACATGCACGTGTGCGGCCTTTGACAGAATGAAAGAATATTTTTTGACGTGGTACCAAACCTCCAGTCTCCAAATAAATATCAAAGCACATTCTAAGTCGCTGTAATTGGGTTGACAGTGTAGGTGGATAATGATCCCACATGACATTTATTTCACGTTCAATGTCACGAATAACATCTGCTGACCAATTTGATTTCGTGGAATTCATGTTTACACTTATTATTGCTGGTGATTTTGGATAATCTGGCTTTACTGCAATTAGCGCAATAAGTTGATCTGAAATATATATATATATATATATATATATTAAAAAATATTATTTTTATTTAGTTACTTTTAATCATCAATAATTAATAGTAATACTTACGATCATCATGACGTAATACAGCTTCATAATAGCTATCTGAAGGTGATACTAAATTATTTTTAATAATATTTTGAGTATCTGGATAAGTAGAATAATTTTTCCAGGATATTGAGGTAAATTTATTGAGACAAGTTGAAATTTTTTGAGGATTAATTGAATCACTAAAGTCACCAGAAAGTGCAATGTTACCTGATTCAAGCAGATGAATTTCACTAGACAAATCCAACCGAGCTTTTACACGACGTTTTATTTCTTTGAATATACTTTCAATACTATTTTGTGAATTTGTTTTTTGACGAGTCATATGCTCATCAGATAAATTAATAATATCACCAGTAATAAAATTAAGACCAGCCATTCTCTGAGCCCACTTGTAAGGAATACCAAGACCCAGTGAAGAAAATCCCGCCAAATGATATCGCTTCAATTGATAATTATTTGCTGGATTAGGACTTTCTAAACCGGTATCTTGGGGATACAACTCACGAAGAATACACTCGGAATTTAACATATTATTATCACCAGCCAAAATAACGTTGTCATTATCAATATTATCCAGAGTTGATTCAACAGTAATTACTTTTAAGAAAGTCAAGTAAAAAAAATTTAATATTATTTTAGTATCAGAATTAATAGTTATTATTATTTTAACAGCAAGTGGATGTTTGTGAAGAATTTTTAATTTTTTTTCTTCCTCTCTAGCTTCACGTGAAATACGATGATGCCGTTTTTTATGAACCGGAATATCATCAGGTAATGTCTCTGATTGCCCTTCAACATCCGAGTCTGACTCTTGAGTACCCTCGTTATTATTTATCCTCTTAGCGTCCTCATCGTCACCTTCAACACTGACAATCAAACTCAAGTCATATGCGTCACGATATGCTGTTGCTTTTACGTAAAGTACGTACAAAGGAGACGGCAATAATCTGGCTCTTTGATGTTCTTGGTGAATTTTATCAAGCGGAAGACCCAAACTGTCTTGCAGAGGTTTACTTGCTTCAAGTATTGACCGTAATTGTGGTCCTAAATTGTCCAGTCGCTGCTGTTTAGTCTCGATACTTTCGGCAACTGTTTTTTTGTTGTCAGTTAATTCATCACACAGCGAGGACAATTGTTTTCTTTGAGTCAATTCCCACTCTAATCGAGCTAACCGAAGTTTGTGATCATCATTTTTTGTTATTTCCGGCTGGCTCAGGCTTTCCGGTGCTTCTTTATAAAATTCTTCTTCAGGTACAAGTTCTATTAACTCGTCCTTAGATCTAAACAAATATTTGAATTAAATTTTATATTTATTGTAATTTATTACAAAAAAAAAACTTACTTGAATTGTAAACACTTGACAACTTCCTTTTTCAAATGCATAACTTCATATAATAAATTTTGTAATTGTAAATGACGGCTGTCAACTTCACTTTTAGCATCAGCCAAAGAATCTCGTGCAAATTTTGTCCTGAATTTTTCCATACGGTTCAATTTTTTCAACTCAATAAATGAAAGTGATGTTTGAATTTGCAATTCACGTATCTCATCTTTTGCCTGCATACAAAATATTAATTAACATTAAATAGGTATTATTGATAATGACTTTTTTAATATTAAAAGAGCAAAAAAAAATTATTTTAATAAATCGAATACTTACAGAAGAAGACTCGTCAGTGGTTTTGAGTTTAGCTATTTTACTCATAGTGTCTCTTATAGATTGACAAGTGGAAAAAAAATTTATTGAATCTTGTTCAGGGGAGCGTGATGTTGCTTCTTTTTCTTCGTATGCAATTATTGCCTGTTGATGATGAAAATTTAAAAATAATAAAAAGGATTAAAAATAACAACAATAAATTAAAAAAATAATAAATATTAGTAAAACCTAACCTTATACATATCGTTTTCTTTAATCGCACTGGCATTACTATTAGTGCTACTACTATTACTCATTGATTTTCGTCGTTTTTTAACGACAATTGCTTCATTTTCTTTAACCATATTATACTATTTTTATTTTAATTCTTGTAAAATAAGTTGTTTTAATAATTATTTAAAAATACAACACCGGAACGTGACACACACCAATTTGTTGTTAAAAAATCAGACATATACACAAGCGAAGCGGTGGCGCTTACTCCTACCGACTGTTGGAAAAAAAAGAAACTCTCCACCTCTCAATACTTGATTACTTGATTACTCTCTTGATTACTTGATGCGTGTGCTAACGCGCTAACAGTTTAAATTGCTAGCACAAATGAAACCAAGTTTATATATACTTAAATCTGCGGCCAACAGTATATTAACAACAATTGTACATATTATTTTATGTGTAATTATTTAAGTAAAAATAACTTGATATTTTTCTTTAAAATCAGTATTTTAAAAGTTACAGCCATTTTAAATAAGATTAGTGGAAATGGAAATATATCTATTTCTACCGTAATGATTATTATTATTATTATTATTATTATTATTATTATTATTATTATTATTATTATTATTATTATTATTATTATTAATATTGTTCCTCACCTTAATACTTATTAACTGCTAATAAATGTACTTTTCTTTAAAAATTAAAATTTTTTTCTAAACAAAAGTTAGAGGAAATTAAATTTTATAAAAAAAATGTCTCATGATTTTTTTATACGACAAATATTTTCGCTATAATATTATAAATTTGACACTATTATATTCTTGCCCTATTAATAACAATTAATAAAAATAAGAAAAAGTTTTTTTTTTTTTTTTTTTTTTAACTACAAGTACCTACTTAGTAATTGTAATTAAAAATAATCTTATTTAACGTACAAATTAAAAACTAAATTGCTTAAATGAGATTAAAGATTTAGCTTTTTTAAGAGTATTAAATGTTCGGTGAACAGGCCCACTCAGTGAGCAATACGTCACTGTGGGCTCCCCAAATTTACAACACGCACCTGACAAGCCATCGTTCCCGCTATTTCTCACCCGCTTGCGCAAACCGCTTGACTGATCACGCCACATGTATCGAATTTTACCATTGGCTATCGATGTCGACATCAATAGAACGAATTTATTGATTGGCTATCGCTCTCGCTAGACATGCGCAGGAGCCTTCTTTCCCAAGTCAACGAGGAAGAAGACGAACTGTTATTTATGATCTTTCGCTTCTCCGCCATTAAGTCTAACGCTTCGCTTTCCCGCTATTTTATTTCGCTCATCGTTAACTAAACGCAGTTCGCTATTTTTATAATTTAAATTGCTTAAATTAACCGCTAATATTTCGCTTCAGTTTGTTTCAGATAAATTGTGTTTATTTGCTTTTGTTTCACCGCTTTTTACAGTGCCGGCAATTTGCTCAACCACGTGCTGACCGGCTTCGCATTGATAACCACGCTGTGTTTTATAAATCCGCTTTTTTCTTATCAATCCGCTATTGAATATATTAAATATTGAGTATATTTATAGTAAATAAATCTCTAGTGATATTCTTAATAATAATTTTTGTATTTTAATTGAGATAACCAGACCGAAACCGGATCCTTAGTTTTTCCGCTCTTTCAGCAATTTACATTAAAGATCGGTTAATTTAAGAAAAATATAATTATTAAATATTTATATTCAAGTAAGCTCAAATGCCTACATTACAAGATCTATCGATTGAATAACCTCATCTTCATCACGTCTCAACAAACGGGATCGAATTGTAAGTCAATACGATTCTATTTGATTCAATCCGACTTTTGAAACCAGTATGTCGCATTGAAAAGTATTCAATCGAATAGAAAATTTTCGAGGTAGAGCTCAAATTACCGACCAAGCTAAAACCACTTACCATATGTAATTAAAGTTGAATGTAAGTGATAGAAAATAGGAAAAAAAATATAAAGTAAAAATTTATTTGTTTATAACAAATTGTTTATTACATAAACAATGAAAAATTAAATAAAACAAAAATTTTTTTTTGTTATATAAAATAAAAAATAAAGAATGATTTTAAAAAAAATCGTTCCTTCATATTAATTAGAAGTGGGAGAAAATAATTTTTAATTAATCAACAAATGCGTTTTTATGTAATAAAAAAATTTTTTTAAGAAACGGTTTTTTTTTTAAACCATAATTATCATCAAAGATTATGTTATCAAAAAAAAATTTTTAATTATCTCATAAACAACGCATTTGTTTATAACAATTATTTTAACCATAGGTGATAAAAATCATTTTTAAGTAGCTTCTGATCATAAGAAAACGAATCAATAATAATGTTATAAAAAAAAAATTTTTTTCAATATTTAATAAAGCTTTATAATTTTTCACCTTAGTAAATTGTTAATAACAAAACGAAAATTAACATTTTTTTAATTTTTTCTACGGGAATCTATTCTAAAACCTTTGAAAAATAGCTCCACGAAAAAAAAAATTCTTAGATTAATAGTTTAACAATTATCGCACTTGCAATGTTAATGCTCGTGCTACAAAAAATTGTTAATTAATTAATGGATAACTTATTGAAAAATCACGATAAAAATTTTTTGACCACGTATTATTGTTCATTGATCCATCCCGCAGGCGCCTGAATTTTTTCAATTTTTAATTTTCATATTTAATAAGTTTGATAAATTTATCATAATTTTCATACTTAATAAGTTTAATAAATTTATCTTTTAGACTAATGAAGTTACAGCTTTAATGATTCAGGACAATTTTATAGATTAAATATGTGCCTTTAGGGTCAACCGTTTTCTAGATTATTTTATGAACAAATGGTTATAAAAATTGAATTATAATAGATATCGATCATATGAAAAATTTATTATATGAATCAATAAATTGTCTAAAAGATCTTCCTGAATGTCCAAGACCGTATCATCAATAGTTTAGAAGTTACAACAATTTATAAGTTGATAAAATAGTTGACTGTTTCAACTTTGATGAGGTAAAGTATTTTAAAATTCAATAAAAGTAGAGAAAAATTTTTTTTACAAATCTGATGCACATGGCTGAATTTTTAATTTTTAAAAGTAACGGAAAAAAAATAAAATGAAAATGGAAATTTGTTCATAATAAATTGTTCATAAAATAAACAATAAAAATTAAAATGAAAACAAAATTTTTTTTCATAATTATATTGAGAATTGTAAATGACTTAAAAAACAAAAAACTATGTTTCTCATAACATTAACCGAATATTTCAATTTTTGATAACTTTGAAAAATCATTATAAGCAAATGAAAAAACTTTCTTAAACTTTTACAATGGAATCTTGTTCATTATTTATATAATAAGACCTCCTAAAAGGAAAAAAATTTATAGACTCACTTTTTAAACTTTTGTAATAGATTTTTTGAAAACTCAAGTCTACGAAAAATTAGTTAATTAACAATTAAATAACTTAAACAAAAATCAAGCCAAAAATTTTTTTTCTTACGGGACTATATTCCTTCAAGTGTCTAGTTGACACCATAATTTACTCAGATTTTTAAATTAATATTGAATGTTATAAAATCATTATTTTGTGTTGAATACTTTGCTTGGCGGTAATGCCTAGGCACCGAAACGGCCGCATGGAGCCCAACTTTCAACGTTAAATTAAAATCATAAATAATAGAGCTATTACTCCAGGAGTAAAGACTTATTTTAATAAAATTTTCTCCTCTTTTAGGATCTTTTTTCAAATTTCAGACATCTTGAATATTTTCGAAGATATAGCTACAAAACGAAGACACCCTTTTTTTCTCTTCGTTTTTTGTTTATAACAAATTAAATTTTTAACAGCGGATAAATTAAGAATACCTCTTTCTCAGAATTAAATTCTGAATCCAATGCACCAATCACCATATTTTTAAGAGCAGGCTAACGATTTTTCGCAGAACTCACTTCTTGACTATAGACTATGTCTACTGTCATAAAAAAATGTTTTTGTTGAAATTTGTCATCTCATTTAGGGTAAAAACCCAATCGATGCTTATGTACCAGTACATGATCACACCATGTATTTGTATATCTATATTTGTGAATACTGGTACATGATCATCTATTGGGGCTTATACCTTAATACTCAAATTGCACAAAAGATAAGATACAAGAAATTTAAGCCGAGATAGTTGCTTAACCTTGAGAGAATAAGAGTAAAGTACTACTCAAATGCTTCGCGTTGAGATGTGCAAAAGTAACATGGCCCCTAGAGTAACAGAAAAAAGAAAAGAAGAAACAGTTATTGTTATTAAAATTCATTTGATGGTTATTTAAATTTTGCGGAATAAAAAAGAGATTATGTCATCTCTACAGGTTAATAGATTATACATGATATCTTAGAAAAAGAAAATAAATTTTTATTTCATGTCCTTATGACATCCGACGTGGATCGCGAGAATTTTTCTTTTGAGGATTCAACGTATTTTCGCATGAAACATGCAGAAATAAAAAAAAAAAATTTCTCCCAATTAAAATATTTGTTGTAATGTACCAACTCTAGTCGAAAATCATGAAGTCCAGTTGATTCATGTTTATAATAAAATTAGCGTAAAGATGAATTGTGTGTATTATTATAAATTTGGGAAGCATCCTCTTTCTAATTATGCATGGTAAACCCACCATTAATAAATTTTAAGTCCTGTCATAAACGGTCAAATTTTTCCAAAATGAAGATTTTTTAATTTTAAAAAGTACTTATAGTCTAGTCAACATGTGCCTTTTTGGTCAGCTTTTTTCAGCAGTCTCCGAAAATTATGATTCAGGTATCATTCGATTCGGAATGGTATCTAGATTATTTTTGAAATAAATGAAGTTCCACTTGCAAAAATTACAAAAGTTATTAACAATTAACTTAAAAAAAGGGGGAGTTTTTTTTGCAAATATATTAAGAACTAATAAAGGTTTAAAAAATTTTAAAAAAGATTAAAAAAAGAAGAGGAAATTTCCTGAAAAGATGTTCCGACTCCCGAAACTGTAGGACCAATATTTATAATTTTCCCAGAGGGACGAAAACGGATGCTCTGGCTTGCGTAAGCCACACTTATTTGGACACTCATCAACAAAAATTATTTTAACATGTTGAATATAAAATTGAAGAAATAGAAAAATTCAGGGTCTTACTGGATAGACAAATGAACCATATTTCGCCTGAAAAAAATTTTGATTACAATTTTCAATTAGTTATGCAATAGTTAATTAATAATTTTTTTCTGCTTGAACATGAACATTGCAACTGTAATAATTGTTAAACTATAAATTTGAGATTTTTTTCCTCTCTTGAAACAATTCTTTGAAGGCTTAAAAAAAAATTCCCGTTGGAAAAATTGAAAAATTTTTATTTTTCAGTTTTTTATTAATAAATTTCGTTGTTCCGAAATTAAAAACTTTAATTAATCGTCGAAAAAAAATTTTTTTTTTTTAAATATTATTGATCCATTTTTATGTAGTCAAAAGCTGCATAGAAATAACTTTTTTTTAATTTTCATCTACTATTGTTTAAAAAATTATTATAAACAAATGCGTTGTTTATAGGATAATTGAAATTTTTTTTATGGAATTTTAATCTTTGAAACAAATAATGATTTTTAAAAGAAAAATTATTAACTAAAATAATTTTTTTATTGCTTAAAAACGCATTTGTTCATTACGTTCAACGCTTAAATTATTTTTATTTAAAATTATTATAAATGATAAAAATGAACAATTATAATTAAGTTTTTCTTGGTTTTTATTTTTTTTTCAATTTATATTTAAAATTTTTCAATCGCTTTAAAATATGAGATATTCAAATATTTTTAAAAATTTAGATCATTTATAATTTGAATTCTCGAGAAACACAGAAAAAAATAGAAGTTAGCAGTCGATATAGAAGAATGTTTCAAAATTGGTAAAAAATTTTTTCTGTTCGGTCTTTCGGATTGAATCGAATTGAAACGAATAGAAAAACTGGTGTTTCACAAGTTGGATTGAATCGAATACAGTTGAATAGGAGGTTCTATTCGATTCTATTCGATCCCGATTGTTGGGACGTTCATCTTTTTTAATTATTCGTTTTTAATGATTTATTTATTCATTTTGAATTCTATGAAATCATTGCATACAATTGTATTACCTTGAATAGACAATTTCAATTATTTTCACATAACTTGATTCAATAATGGCTGAGTATAGTATAATGACAATTATAGTAATAATGATGCGATCATAATTGATGAAGTACAATAATTATAACAAGAGCGATATGATAAAATAAATTACTGATGTTATTTGTATGCATGTCTATAGTACTAAAATAACTTTAATTTGATAGGGAAAAATTTTTTTCTTAACTAAGACTTATCTACCTGATTTCTGTGAAGTTGTAAATGATAAAAAAATGATATCTCATAAAGAAGTTTCACTTCTTACTTGTATACTCTGGTACACACACATATTGTTTTCTTTTTTCTTTTTAAAACGATATGAACTATTTTCATAGACATTCATTTTTCTTCAAACTTTATTTTTCGTAGAATAAACTCTTATGAGGCTGTATTTGCAATGCTACGTCTTGCTGATGAAACAAAATCCTTAGAATCTGAATAATATCCGAGTAATAAAATGTCTAATACAAAAATCAAAATCAATCTAACAACAAAAAAAAACCTTTTTGTTTATCCAAATTAATAGTAAATCTTCTAGATTGTGAAATTTAAGGAATAAATTAATTTATGATTGTAGATCATCAATGTGTATTTGAAGATTTTAGAAAGAGACTCGAATTCCACAGTCAGAGTTGTCGATACTTTCTGGTATAATACCATCAATAAGAAGGTGTCAGCTAAGCGCCTAAAAAAGGATGTAAGTATGTTGTATTATGATTCATGTAGACTTGCGATACCATGCAAATATTAACTCTTTTTTTTTACCTAGGTTGATATTTTGAAAAAAAGATTGGTTTTAATACCTATTCATTTAGGAATTCATTGGTGTTTGTGCGCTGTTGATAATATAAACAAATCCATCACATATTACGACAGCCTGCACTCAAAGAATGATAAATGCCTAGAGGTGAGTACACAGATATAATAAATAAGTACATTGGTGTATTTAATTTAATATATTAGTGATCTCTTTCTGTTGGTGACAAACACATTTATGTACATCTCTCATACTTTTCTCTTTGTATGGCATATGTTCAAATTTAAAAGTCAAAAAATTCTATTCACTGTTAAAGCATAAAAATTTATAAGTGCACTTATAAGATGTCAATGTTATAAATATCTTCTTAAATTACAGGTTATTGAAAAGTACCTGCAAAGTTTGGGAGAGAAGCGATGGAGTAAAATTCATGAGAAGGTAAACAAAAGTTATTGATATTTTCAATTAATTTAATTTCGTGAGTTATCTTATGTCAACGTATATAAAAAAATTAGCAAATCGGTTGACCCTAAAGGCCATCCCTGCAACTTCCCGCTGATTCCGTTAATACCTGGTTGCTTTTTTTGAGCTCTTCGATATATAAGAATAATAATAATAATAATAATAATAATAATAATA